GACCCGAAGAAGCCGGAAGAGACGAATGTGCTCACCAAGGAACAACAGAAGCATTTAGACGAATTCATCGCACATTTGAAAGAACGGTCACCACGGAGTCAACATGAGATGCTCGACGACGTGAAACTGCACGTTGAGAGGAACGGATTACCTCCGCCGGTGAAGGAATTCATCGATAACCATATCGCCACCGGGCGTCCTGCCTCCCTCATGACATATATGCGTTTGATGCGCGACCTGGCCTCTTACCTCGATGAGATCGCTCGTGGCGTAGCGCGGATCGAAAGCGAGCGAATGATGAAGGAAATCGAGGAACTGGAGAAGAAACATGCAGAGGAAGGAAAGCAACCAGGGAAAGAGGGAGAAAAGGATCGGGAAGGGAAGAAGGACCAAGGACAAGACAAGAAGCAGAAGGACCAGAACCCATTTGGCAAGAATCCGCCGGACCCTAAAGACATGGTTGTTTTCAAGCTCGACAACATATATTTCTGGGCGGGCTTGATTGTCAGTTACTATATCTACCGCAGTTTCTACCCGAGCGAGAACAGCAGCGATATCACATGGCAGGAGTTCAGGGCAAACTTCCTTGATAGGGGCTTGGTTGAGAGGCTGACCGTCATCAACAACACCCGGGTTCGGGTCGAACTTCACCGTGATGCGGTGGCTCAAGTCTACCCCGATTCGCCTGCTGCTCACCCTGGATTTTACTACTACTTTACCATCGGATCCGTCGACGGCTTTGAGCGGAAATTGGAAGAGGCCCAGCAGGAACTTGGTGTCCCTAGTGCTGAACGCATTCCTGTCAACTACCAGGGTGAAGTCCCTTGGGCTGCGACACTCATAAGCTTCGGTCCCACGGTTCTTCTCTTGGCGGGTGTGTATTTCCTGTCGAGGCGTGCAGGTAGCGGAGGTGGTCAAGGTGGCATCTTTGGCATTGGCAAGAGCCGTGCCAAACGTTTCAACCAAGAGACCGACATTAAGATCAAGTTCTCCGACGTGGCCGGTATGGACGAAGCCAAGGTGGAAATCATGGAATTCGTCAGCTTCCTGAAGAACCCAGAACGCTTCCAGAAGCTTGGTGCTAAGATTCCCCGTGGTGCGATCCTCTCGGGTCCTCCGGGTACCGGTAAGACGTTACTTGCCAAAGCCACGGCTGGTGAATCCGGCGTGCCCTTCTTCAGTGTCAGTGGTTCAGAGTTTGTCGAGATGTTCGTCGGTGTCGGTCCTTCCCGAGTTCGTGATCTGTTTGCCAACGCGCGGAAGTCGACGCCCTGCATTATCTTCATCGATGAAATTGATGCTATCGGTAAATCAAGAGCGAAGTCTAACTACGGCGGTGGCAACGATGAGCGTGAGAGTACCCTCAACCAGATCCTGACCGAAATGGACGGTTTCAACACTTCCGAGCAAGTGGTGGTGTTGGCTGGTACGAACAGGCCCGACGTTCTCGATCAGGCTCTGATGCGTCCTGGACGATTTGATCGGCACATCTCTATCGACCGGCCTACCATGGATGGTCGTAAGCAGATCTTTGGCGTTCACCTGAAGAAGATCGTGACGAAGGAGGACATGGAATACCTGCAAGGAAGACTTTCGGCTTTGACTCCCGGTTTCGCTGGTGCTGATATTGCAAACTGCGTCAACGAAGCCGCTTTGGTTGGTAAGTACACAATTTCCTGAAATAACCTCCCTAATCCATCAGTTCTATACTAACCCGCTTCTGTACAGCGGCCCGTGAAAACGCCGATCATGTCACCATGAAGCACTTCGAGCAGGCCATTGAACGTGTCATCGGTGGCTTGGAGAAGAAGTCTCTTGTTCTTTCTCCCGAGGAAAAGCGCGTTGTGGCCTACCACGAGGCCGGACATGCCATTTGTGGATGGTACTTCCGCTGGGCTGATCCTCTTCTCAAGGTTTCCATCATTCCCCGTGGCCAAGGCGCTCTGGGTTATGCCCAATATCTGCCTGCCAACGGCGACACCTACCTGATGAACGGAAACCAGCTCATGGACCGTATGGCCATGACTCTGGGAGGACGTGTCAGCGAGGAACTGCACTTCGACACAGTGACTAGCGGAGCCAGCGACGACTTCAACAAGGTCACCCAGATGGCCACCGCCATGGTGACGAAGTTCGGTATGTCATCAAAGCTACGCTACATCTACTACGAGGAGGACCCGAAGAGCCAGATGCACAAGCCTTTCTCTGAAGAAACAGCTCGGGATATCGACGCTGAAGTCCGCCGCATCATCGATCAAGCCCACGAGCAGTGCCGCGACCTCCTGACCAAGAAGAAGAAGGAAGTCGGCATCGTGGCCGAGGAACTCCTCTCCAAGGAAGTCCTCAGCCGCGACGACATGATCCGTCTTCTGGGCCCTAGAGAGTGGCCTGAATCCAACGAGTTCGCCAAGTACTTCAACGGCCGCGGCGGCGCCACCATCGCTCCCCCTGAGCCCACGGAACCCACTGAAGGCAAGGACGGCCGCGACTCCACCCCTATTCCCCCATAGATGATGCAAATCCTCATTGGAAATTCTCGAATACTATTCTTCTCTCCCAAGAACATCATCACTCACGGCTGACGAAAGGTGCGGCGAGGCGGGGGTTTTTGCATGCTTGTCTTCTTACTCATATCATATATCGTTGTCCTCTTTTACTTCCTCGTTTCCTCGCTTGGGTTTTGTACTTATTTATTTTTCGTGTGTGCGTGTCAACTCGGAGCATCTCCTTTCTAACAATTTCCCTCTGTTTTCGCATCCCATCCGTCTGCTGTTTGTTACCTTCCAAGTTGTCGCCATAAATATTAGGACTATGACCCTTTTTCTGTGTTTCCTGCGTGCTTGGTACTTTGCTCCGGAGTTACCTCCCCCACTTCTCTACTCCTTTCCCTATCCCTCTTGGACATCTATCCCAGCGGTCAATCATCCGTCACCTTGATATCTCTGATCTTCACCGCCTGGCTTCTCCCTTTCTCTTTCCTCGTTCGCTTTCTTGAAGAAAGTGTTCGGTGTACTGTATTGTACTGTATAGTAGGTAGTTATTTTATATTGGTTTTCGAATATAGATGGTAGGCGAGTTCAAATTATATTTTACTATGACTCAAGTGATATCGTAGGGCGTCGTAAGGTGTAGTGTTATTATACTAATAGATAGGACTGATTTGAGCTTGCAATACAACATTTGTCTTGCAATTTAGAGACTAGAAGGCGTACTGTCAGTCAAGCACAAGGGGCCAGCCCAATCGCCGCGTGCTTCTTCAGTGATGGAACTTTTCATAAATTCGACAAGGATATCAAAAGCGAACATGACAAAAAATATATGCAAACAGCAGAATAATATATGTTTTCCAGAAGATCCAACACCAAAAGATTATGTACTCCAAAATAACATATCAAATGAAACCGCGACCAATGAAGATAAAAAACACCCAGAACCGAAATATAGGCAGATCAATGTGAGCGGCACATCAAGTATCCCCCAAAATCACTGGCTCTTCTTGTCCGCCTCGTGAGTCTGCTCGCTCTCGGGCTGCTCAGTGACAGCCTTGCGAGCCTTTTTCTTGCTGCTCTTGTACTTGGGCTTGACCGAGAAACGGGGAATGAAGCGTCCCACGCGAGCCTGGTATTCCTTGTACTCAGGGTACTTGCCGGCGCTGATCGATTCGGTGAGACGAACGCTACCCTGGAAGATGAGCAGAAGGCCCAAGACACCAATGCCGGTCCACTGGACGTAGGATTCAGTGCGGTAGCAGTTCCAGAGGTACAGAGTGAGCCAGATGGCCTGCTCACAGAGGAAGTTCGGGTGACGAGACAGGGACCAGAGACCACTAACGACGAACCCGCGCTCCAGATCCTCAGGCTCGTACCGGCCCTTGTACTGGTCAGGGATGCGAGCAGTCTGCTGGTAGTTGTGCTTGGCAGTCTGGAAGTTCCATTGCTGCTGATCGGCGAAGTACTCGATGATAATGAAGAAGAAGGCCACCCGGGAGAAGACAAGGTCCGGAACCTCGAAGGACTTGTGGTCCGACAGACGCGAGAGAAGGAGGAAGTTGTAGGTCGGGGCGGTGATCAAAAGCAGGAGCAAGGACTGCGTCAGGCTGATGAAGATGATGTTGAAAATGAAGAAGACAAAGCGGTTGTTGACCTTCGAGCGGACGATTTGCCAACGGTAGTCTTCCGAGCCGATTGAGTAGCCACCACGGCGCCAGTAGTTGAACGTCAAGCGGGCCTGGGCAGGTTAGCAGGGGTGAATATAATGCACAGGCAATCACGGTAACTAACACTCCAAATCAAGGTGATGGCCGCGATAGTATCCAAGCTCTGAGTCTGGAGACCTGACAAGCGGGCCCAAAGAGCGAAGTGCACATTGTAGATGGACGGCAGGATACTCCAGAGCCGATCAACTTGGGAGTAGTTCCTGTTGATCTCCGAAGCGATGACAAACAGAACTGATAGAGCTAGACTCAAGAAGAGGGCCGAGATGAAGGGATTCGTGGAGAGGTAAATGTCCTTGAGGATGTTCACATCCTTGGCTGCGGCTGCAAGCTGCAGTCGCTCGGGAAGCGCCGTGATTTGCGACAAGAAGGGTAGGACAGTGTGGCTGAAGGAAGCACAGTCCACGACAGACTTGACGTCAGGGAGGGGTAGCGCCATCTTGGTCAGATGCACTGAAGCAAAGGATTTTAGTTAGCTGGTTGCTGCTGGGGTGACAGGGAAGCTTCTCGCATGTGAGTGGAAGCAAGACAAGGCCGGGTTGTGGATGGAGTCAAAACAATTACCACAACAAGCTGGCCGGGAAGCGTGACCGAGCAACCGCCCGCGGATGCCTGATTCAGGCCTGAAACTTGTCCCAATTCGGCCATGATGGGGAGCTCGGGCCACTATTCAAGCCTCAGGCAGTAAACGGTTTTTCAGGCATGAAGGCACCCTACCATACCCGTGACTCGCGTCTTTTTCGCGTCTACAGCGACAAAGTAGATGATTAGTATGTGAGTTTGTCCACTTCGCCATAAAGGTCAACACTCTTTGTTTCGGTTGCGCTCTGAAAAGGAGCATCGGTCATGGGCACACCTTAGCCTTCATGATCAACTCAGGCAATTGCCATGACAACGCAAAGGGTGCTATGCGTGGCAGAAAAGCCGGCCATTGCTAAAGCCGTGGCCCAGCACTTGTCCGGCGGCTCCTTTCAAACAGTAAGTGGCTCGTTGCCGGGACTTGCCAATACCTTCTGAGGGTTACGGTTGCTGAAGTAGCTGTACTGTAGATAGCCATCCGAGGGAACCAATATGTGAAAAACTATGTATTCGATTTCAATTTTGGTGGCCCATGGGGCACTTGCTCTGTGACCATGACCAGCGTCATTGGACACTTGACTGGTCTAGATTTTGAACGCCAATATAGAACTTGGCTGTCATGTCCCCCATCAGCCCTCTTCGAAGCTCCAGTACACGAGTCTGTGGCTGACGTATGTATTTCTGCGCACCACCACGAAGGTCTGGTATGAACCCCGTGCTAATACCTGGCGGCAGGATAAAGTAGCTATTGCGAAAAACATCCAGGAACAAGCCCGGAGATGCAAGGCTCTCTTTATCTGGACAGACTGTGATCGAGAAGGTGAGCATATAGGAACGGAAATCCGCAAGCAAGCAAAGGAAGGAAACGCTCGCATTGTCATCAAACGGGCAAGGTTCAGCAATACAGAAAAGGCGTGAGAATCACCACCCTTTCAATTGAAATACAATGCTGATCTCTGGGTAACAGCCATGTGCTACATGCTGCTCGGTCACTGATCGAACTTGATGACCTCCAAGCAAACGCTGTTGCGGCCAGAATCGAACTGGATCTCCGGATTGGTGCGGCATTCACTCGTCTGCAAACGCTCCAGTTGAAACCTCTTTCTGCGGCGCTTCAAGATACTATCATAAGCTATGGTATGGTTCTATCCTTCCTTGTACGAGCACTACTAATAATCGACCAGGATCCTGTCAATTCCCGACACTCGGTTTTGTAGTTGATCGTTATCTCCGCGTCAAGAACTTCAAACCTGAGACCTTTTGGGGAATCAAAGTTGTGCATACCCGGGACGACATCAAGGTCAATTTCCTCTGGAAACGTGTTCATCTTTTTGACAGAGCTGCGGTGACGGTGATGCTCGAGCGGTGTCTCATGGCAAAGAAAGCCAAAGTCACCAAGGTCACCCAAAAGCCCACCAGCAAATGGAGACCTCTACCTTTGACAACAGTGGACCTTCAGATGATGGGAAGTAGATATCTTCGCATGGACAGTCAGACAATCATGAAGGTAAGCCGGGTGGTGTGCCATATGTTCGAGCAATGGCTCACACAATCTAGGTCGCGGAAGCCCTATACACGAAGGGTTTTATCAGTTACCCACGTACCGAAACAGATCAATTTGATAAGGGCATTGACTTGAAAAAGCTCGTTGAGAAGCAGCTACCGGACGGAAACTGGGGTCAATATGCTCGACAGTAAGCATCCCTTAGACATGTCTTTCTGCGCTGCTAACATCTGAAGTCTGCTGGACGGCGCATTCAAGACTCCACGATCAGGTCGACACAACGATCAAGCCCACCCACCTATACACCCCATTTGCTGGGTCGCACCCACGGCTCTTACGGCTGACGAGAAGAAAGTCTACGAGTTCGTCGTCCGACGCTTCCTTGCGTGCTGCTCCGAGGATGCCAAGGGTCAGTCGACGGAGGTCGAGATCCAATACGGTGACGAGTTCTTCCACGCCAAGGGCCTCTTAGTTCTCGAACGGAATTATCTAGATGTCTACGTCTACGACAAGTGGGAGAGTAGTCAGCAACTGCCAAACTTCCAGATGGGTGAAATGTTCGAACCCACTGAAGCCAAGATCTTCGACGGCAAGACCACACCTCCGGATTACCTCACTGAACCGGAACTGATTGGCCTGATGGACGCCAATGGAATCGGTACCGATGCTACCATGGCGGAGCACATTGCAAAAATTAAGGAACGACAATACGTTGCCGTTCATTCGCGTGGGAGCGGTCGAAACGCAGTTAAAGAACTGATCCCCACCCGGTTGGGTATTGCTCTGGTAGAAGGATATGATAATGTCTTCGCCGGTATACCAGATAGCCCTTCTCTGAGCAAACCCTTCCTTCGGAAGGAGATGGAGCTGCGCATGCGGGAAATCTGCGCCGGCAGGCGGACACGACAGCAGGTTGTGCAGGAGAGTCTTGACATGTATCGGGAGGTATTTGTGCACACGCAGCGGCGGATCAATAGGCTGAAGGATGCCTGTCGAAAGTACCTGAATGAACAGGAAACTTCCTAACTTTGCTGAACCAAATTATTGTCTCGAGCAGCTGATTATGATACCCTTGGCTGGTGAAGTTTAATAAACTGTATATTCCCGTCTGGCGTTGGAAAGTTTTAATTCATCCTTATAATTCAGGTCCCTGCGCAAATGTCTCCGGTATGTTGGATCTTTGCACTAGCAACTCACATGCAAGGTTATGTTTTGTACAATATACCGAAAGCAAAAAAATCCACATATCTGCACTCTGTATATATCGAATTTGACATTGCCGGGATTACCACGGTACATGCCGCCTTCAATGCCCATCCAGAAAACAGACACATCGACTCCGCTTCTGAGAAGGGTTAGTAGAATACAACTTAACAAGTCAAGGACAACTATAAAGATACCTCTACCTTTCAACTCAGACATTTCACCTTCTTCATCCTCATTCTCCCATCCATCCACCTACCCACCCCTCTTCATCTACCACATCTACCACAATGTTGGTCTCCAAGCTCATCCAATCCACCACCACCATGGATTTCCGCAACCTATCATTCACTCTCCTCCTGCTATCCACTACAGTCATGTTATATTTCAGGACTCTATTGGCGCATCCTATCTACTTCAACAACATCCCAGGGTCAGTGCAGACTCCAGAACCGGCGCCAATCGAGGCCCTCGCCTTCCTCGACGAGCCCGTCTTCAAACCACTGGCATCTCACATAGCGGACAACCCATATCCGTGGCGTGACAAACGCCCATTCCAGGAGACCAATTATGCGTTACTCATGGGTGCCGTCCAATCTCTTCTTGAGGCTGAGGTTGACGAGGAAGAGGGTGGTGTGAGTTTGAATGAGAGCTATGGGCAACAGGATGGCATTGAGAGTAACTCGTCCGAGACATATTTTCTCTGGGCTGGGGAAGATGAGAAGTGGTCTTGCGCTTAGCAAAAGCGCTCAGGGGAGTTAAGAAAGTGAAGATGGTCCTTCGAGACCTGGGATTGTGAGAAGTTCATTGTTGGAAAGTGGGTTTAAAACCCACTGTGACGGGATGTTCCTATGAGTATTATTACCAAAGGGGTTTTGGATTATATGTTCAGTCATGTTTATGTTTTAATGAAGTGTTGGTTATGAGAGTAAGTCTTTTCAAGTATGTTCCTGTTGTCGTAGAGTCCCGGTCAAGGGTTATCAGCAGCCAACTTGATAGGCTGGTGCTAATGCTTTATAGCGGGAAGTGCCTTCAGCTTCTCAACTAAAAACAAGGGATAACCCGCCATATAGAGGCTAAACCTATAGTGATTTCTCGTATTTTCAAACTTGGATAAAATACCAGACAGGTAGTTCAAACACGTGCATTGCGACGGATGATGCTAAGCTAAAAGGGGGCATTGGTCATACCCGGGGGTAAGCAGCAGCTAGATATTACTGCGCTCAGACAACTCAACCGGATATAGCCACTAGAGTCATATAAAATTTCTCTGAATAAGGTTCAGGAACAAGAACGCTAATTCTACAATTATGTGGCAGAAAAGGGAACTTGTGCGAGTACGTACCAAATCGTGCTTACACAAGATATGTCTGCGTGATATACTGCTTGGTTGATCACTTCATGACTTACTGTATAGCTAGAGAAACCAGGATGGTCTCTGTTCGAGCTACACATATATATATAGAAAAGTAGACTATATAACTTACAATAAAGGCTTGTCACTACATTGTTGAATGACTAGGCGATTATAGGTAGTTCAACCTGATATAGATACTTTCTTCCTGCGTGAAACAATGGTGGTATATTTGACATTATGTAATCAAAAATATCAGCGAACTGGGGTTATAGCTCAGTGGTAGAGCGCTCGCTTTGCATACCTATAGCGAAACTGCGAGAGGTCAAGGGTTCGATCCCCTTTGACTCCATTTTTTTTTCTACCACCACCATCACCTTAGAATATGGGGATTTTCCTATTCTCTCTCTATTTATTGCTTGCTTTTTTCTTCTTCGAAGAAAGCTGGATTTAACTTGTTTGGTCATCTGTACTTAATCCCAGAATTAGTATGTGGCTGAACTGGTTTGAGTTTAATATTGGCTTATTAATAACAGACACTGCGTTGATAGAGCACTGTCTACATATACTCTTACCGTATATTTCTTCTGATCAGGAAAGCTACGTTCCAAACTAGGGTAGGTCATGCAGGGTGAAACTTTGCATCATCTATTTACTCAGCTAGTTCGCTTAATGAAAGTTGCCAGCCTCTCCTGCTTCTACTATAAGGGAAACACAAATAAGGGCCGGAAGATATCCACGTCTCGTAAGACGCACACATACAGGGTTAATTGGGAACTGCCATTAGGCTACCTAGCCCCTATCTGGTACTTGCAGAACCTTACATCCTACAATCACGTCCGCTTGAGCTTATCTGCCTCAATATTAAGGACAGGAGGGAACTTTTCTGTAGACCAATTAGTCCAAATGGAGTTATATAAGTGCGTTGTAATCCCTATGTATTCAAAGGGAATGAGAGCGAAACACAGGCGAATAATCCTCAGCTACTTCGGTCAAGGGCTCCCTACCTGCTCCTGGAAACACCTACGCAAGACCAACCCATCACGATGGACCCCTTTAGTATCAAAAGGGTTCCCTACATCGTGTTATGCAACATCATCCGACAAATCTCCGACTGGGTGACGCTGGAGAACCTCATCGAAGCGTCCCCCCGAATTCGGGAGATCTTCGAACCAGGCGAGGATCCCAACGAAAGGGCAGAGCCCGCAGCAACGCACATAGTCGACATCATCCTGAAGGGTAACCCTATAACAAAGGGCCATCTATACCGTCACTTCTGGAGAGTCACCGAACTAAAACAATTAACACCAGAAGAACTCCAGGAGTCATTCAGTGAAGCACGTTCCTCTCTCCGAAGAAGTGGTCTAAACGAAGGAGAGCCCGAACGACGCAGCCTAACAGAATTTCTCGCCCGCCATAAGCCTCCCACTTCTATATCCCGAGCCGTGTTATGGGAAATGATACACATAGCCGCCAACATCCAACGATTAGCCTGTGCGTGCTTGACATTCCTCGGGGGCCTGCTCCAAGCCCACTTTTACTGGAACGGGAGGTTCCATGCAATGAAGGAACTGGATCTGAGCCAGCCCTCATGGGAAGAGGAATATCGCGTTTATCGTGCCTTGTGGCATTTGCAACTATATTCTGTGCTGCATAAGGGAGACATCCTCCCCGTGGATGGCCACATTGTGTGCGTCCGCGGCCAGTATCAGCCCGAGGTTGCTACCTGGGATTTGCTTCCAGGGGTTGCCCGCGTTGAGATTCAGACTGTGTCCCAGTGCCTTTTGAACCTGGTCAATGGGAATCATAATCTAAATCTGAATGGGTGGAGAGAGTGGGCGAATTGGAAGAAGTGGTATCCGCTTGTTACTGAGTTGCCTGATGCATCTCGGCTTGAGTTTGGGTTTCCGACTCGCAGTCCTCCGCCCCAGCCTAGCTGTTTACGAGGTGTTATTGATCCTTTCGTTGAGAGGCTTAAGAAATATGCGGTGCAGAATAAGCTTGATTTCAAGAAGTCGGGGCTCAAGTTGCCTCATAGTTGGCATATTCCGGGGAATAGGATGATTGGGTTGATGATGTGGGATGTTCGTCGATTGAATAACTCGGGGTTGTGGCCGCTGCGTTATTAGTGTATTTAGATTGTGCTAGGAGCTTGCCGAATACTGGGGATTGGTGTTCGCTCTAATTCTGCATGAAGCATACAGTAAAGAAAGGCTGCAGACGAGCCACACCTTCCTAACCAGAAATAGAATCTACATCATCCGTTTGTCTCCCGTTAGATTACTTTCGTGTTGACTACAACATCATCCTACACCTTGAGGATCATCGAGCATAGCTCCTTACTGCTAAATTAGAGGTAATATAGGATCCGTTAGATTGCCGTCGAACCTCAGCCCGAGGCGAAATCGAAATGCAGCAGTCCCCATCTCTCCTGCTGTCCATCGTTTTGGCCTGCTGAAAGCACGTTGACATTCTTTCTACAGTATTGCAAGAATTTAAAGGACATTTTACTGATATTATCACATACCATGGGTAACCATCCAAAAATATATTCTTTTTTCTTAGTATGAAAGTACAAAAAGCACACCATGACAATTTGAGGGAAATGATGGTTTGTTTGGGTACCTTTAACAACAGACAACCACAGAAGACACTCGGAACACTAGATCAAGCATACAAAACACCCAGCCACAATCAGTACCAGCCTAGTTCCCCTTCTCACCCTTAGGATGCCAGCTATCGTAATGAACAGGCCCCTCCTTAACATCCTCCTTCTTCTCATAGCAGTGGATGGTGAAATGCTTCTTATCAGCAAGTTCCGGGACAATCAGCATTTGCTGACGGCTGCGATCTCTACCATGAGGCATGATCGAGAAACGGAGAGAGCTCGAAGGTTTCTCGTGAAGGCTTTCGATGTATTCGTCGATTCGCTTCTCGTCTTTCTGGTTCCACATTCTCTGGTTGTGTTGGTTCTTCTCGGGGATCCAGACTTTGGGGATTTTGTCGAAGGCTGCTTGGTCTGCTTTGATGACGCAGTACCTAGAAAAAACATATCAGCATGATAATCATAGGACATTTGTAATTGTGTGTTACATACCAGGCATCAGGAGCAGCCAGCGCCTCATACTCATCACGGGAAGGAGAGGTGTACACTCCTTTACCAATCTGGGCACCCCACATTACATGATCGTGGTCAAAGTAGAGGCCCTCTTTGTTGTATTTTTCGGCTTGAGTCTGATGCAAAGGGGAATTTTTAGCTCTGAACATAATGACTGGTGAGATATCAAGAAAAGATCTACCTTATCAGCACGGCGGAAGCCAACGGTGATTTCTCCACGTCTGCCCAGGTCAACAGGAGAGGCTACACTGCAGGCAGCCAATGTCGCAACAAGGAAGCTTGTAAAGCCTGAGAAGTGCATTTTGGAGATTTGGGGATAGAATAGATCTCTTGGACTTGTAAGTTGATTGCGAGTGGTTATGTGTGAGTGATGATAGAGGTATCTGGGAGAAATCTTCGCTATTTTATATCTGTGTCAAGCTCTATAGTATCAATTTTGGATCCAAATGTTCCTGGCTGGTTGCTACTATACGGGAAGAGCATGCTTGAACCCATCCCACAGGGCTAGGGGGGCCAATCCTTCAATCCTTCAGGTATATAGCTCAGCTACAGTATTGACTAAGTATACTAGTAATCAAAGTCAGCCTTGACGACGACTGGGGAAATAATATTTGGACCCTGAATATTTGAATCCTACGTAAGATATCTGCATCCTGCCATCTTAATACATTCAATGGCTGAGGACATTTTCGGGTTTGTTAGAAGCCTTGACGAATAGTAAGATGGCAGGTCAGAAAGACCTGCCATTTGACAAAAGATAATGCTATATGTCCAAAATATATTGTTCTTAATAATTCTAGAAACATCAGTCAAATTCATACATCATGTTGGTATTGATGAACTGTACTTATTTGCGTGGTTGAGCCTGCTTTAAGTTAGTATACACATGTCAGGGTCGATCACCTGGGCGGGTTGGGGGCCAAGCTGTCAGAGCCCCCATCTCGACAGCCCTAAAGGCTTATGTTCTAGGCTGAAGCGTTCCTGAGACCCTGAAACTAGCGGCTTGGGGGCTAATTCATACTGAAAAAGCTGGACCCTGATAAACGGCCCCAGTTACAGCCACAGGGCGAGCTACTGATCTGCATCTTAGAAACAGGTTTTCATGTTGTGGAAATGATGGAAGAGTAAAGGATAGAATAATGTCATTTCAGGAGTTGAGCTGGGCTGTGTCTGATGGTTCAGGTCAGACCCCACCTATAGTGGGAAGACTAAGAACCCTGTGAATCATTACTAGCAACCAACCCCTCCCATGTCTTATATTATCTCATCTTTATCCATCTCCTCCCTCTCTCTTTTCTTCTCCCTGAATCAACAACTGGAATTCTAATAATCTGAACCGATTTATTTTCCATAATAACAACAATAATTTGAAATTTTGAAAGAAAGCCATTTCCCTCAACCTCCATCTACTATGTGCAAAACCGACACTGCGCTGTCCACCCTCTGTGGAACATGGAATCTAGACTCTGAAGAAGAGATCCAAATAATATTTTACGAGAACGGCACGGGCGAAGTGAGTTTGTCTGATCTAAACCCCCTTGACTATTGCTAATAAGCACAGATAATTCTTCGACATATATTCAACGCGTGGATCGCTGCTGAGACCGAATGGAAGTCACTTGGTCCTGAACCACTCGACCAGATTTCTGTCAGCGAGAGCGACACTACCTCTCAAACAGAGGCACAAGTTCTAGCGCACTTCGATCTAGAAATAACACTCACAAAACGCGCTATCACAACACGCGGCCCAACAGATGGCTACATCTTGAATGAAGAGAATCTCATCGACACCGCCTTCCTCCCTAAGAGATACTCTGTCCGGTTGGAAAAAGGCTCGTTCAAAACAGCCTTCGAGCGGACAGCGGGACCGGTGCGTCCGTGGCGCCAGTCGTATGCTTACCAGCTGGTTTTTGATAAATCGCCGTATCCACCGCTGAATGAATGGAAGGATCCAGAGGAGGCGCCTGAGCCGCCGTTTTTGCCGTTTGAGGGGTGGAAGGAATTTTGTAGTCGGGCGTTGCCGAAGGATGAGCAGGCATAGATAATTGGGAGATGTTGTAGATACTTTGGTTAAACAGTTGTCTATTTTCTATCTAACAAATGCATCAATGACAGCCGAAGTCCCACTCTGAACAACCTTTAAGCTTTGCATAGTATACCCTCCTGCTTTAATACCTTACTAACTCTAGCTGCATGGATATGGATATCACTAGCAGCTCTAGTAATTCTAGAGTAGTCAACACTCAAGATCCTAAGCCATCTAAATAGACAAGGACAATTAAGCATATAAGTGCATTCCAGCCTATCGAAAAATTAGTAAAGAGGCAAAGTAATATGAAGGAAGTTAGGTACCTTTATCATTAAGCATAGTAATAAGAATAGGAATCTTTGTTAAGCCAGCATACACTAGATAGAATACTAAATAGGAATCACATAATAAACTTGTGTAAATTACTATACGTACAGCTTTATATAGATAGATATATTAGATAAACTATATAATTTAATCGGCTTCATATTAGTTATGTGGTAATAATACTAAGAAATCGTATTTGTCTGATGGCTGCTATTGTCTGCCATATCTGTTTGTTTATTTGCTTTGCGCACCGCGCGGTTTTTGCACCACTAAGGTTTTTCCGCGTCACACTTTCTTTTCTTTTTTCTCCCATTCTCTTATTACATTATTGGCTACTTGGTCAAAACCGTATTGATATGAAACCATGCATAACTTTATTTAGCAGGCTTTGAAAACATACGGTGTTGGTAATAAAGGATGAAAGAACCGAACGGGCGGGTAAGAAAAGACCTTTTGTTGAACGCAGTCTTTGTTAAGGTAGTAGACTGCGAACACATCCTGCCTGGTACCTGGGGGCTTAAAACTCTGTTGTAAGCCCTTTTCGTATTTGTAGATACATCGAATTCATGGCTAGACAGCAACCGAGACATTTTTCTCATACGCTTATCCCGAGACATTCTCCTGATCCCCCTATCCAAATATTAGTCTATCACACTTCAGATGCTTACAATGGAACAAGATCAGCACGCACGTCGGAGAAGCATACGCATCATTGAAAAGGCACTGAAAAGCGAAGCCAACACAGAGAAGACGCCAGCTTCAATTTCCAAAAAGAAAGGCCGTCAGCAAAGTACTCTTGTCCAGACGAGCGAACAGAAGAAGCAAGACATCACGGGGAAACGAAACTCTTCAAGACGGACACAAAAGCCTCAAGCTAATACAGCAAGACGAGCATCGAAGAGGACGGCACCACAAAAGACCGCCAACGCAGCCAAACGTGGCCGTCGAAAGAAAGCACAGGGTGTAGCCAGTACAAGGAAGCAACCTAAGCAGGAAAAAAACCAGCATAAAAGGGTATGGTGTGAGCACTTGCGCACTTGGAATGCCTTAAGATACTGACTCTTTGTTTGTTATAGATACGTCCCTCGACCAAGACACAGAATAAACGGAAGACACAATCACCAGAACCATCATCCTTGAGCCCAGAACCGCAGTCCAAGAAGCGGCGTCAAGAGCAGAACCCAGCACTTCCGGATAGTAATATTGACCAAGAGGTGGGACTGCATAACTCCTGCACACTGGAACCGGATCAGACCTAATATCATATTAGTTGCCTCTAGAAAGTCCACGATTTGAAGGGGATGCTGCTGTATATTACTGGATCAACAACGGAATTTGGCCAAAAGGAATGCCTCAATCTACCCCTAACACCCAATTATTGAATACCCACCTTGCTTCTAGGCCTCCAACCATTCCGCAAGTGACACAAACCCTCGAGCCAACAACAGCGGCCAGGTCTAACCCCTATGCTACAAATGCCTGTAAGACATACCTCAAGTCTAAAGGCAGCTACATGGATGAAGGAGTTGGGGTTGCAGAGAATGATGAAAGGATATGTCAGGATCTTCTTAGAAGAGAAGTATGTGAAACTCCCAGTGGCACGGCATTTGAGGACAATACTTTGGACTATGTCCTGAAGTCTTTGCCAAACGCAAATGAGATCGGGGTCACTCGAATGATCAGTCAATTGCTTGTTCCCTCACCGGTACTCGAGATTTATGGGAGTCGACTGCGTTCTACTCCGAGGTTGATTGAAAGTATGAATCAGCCTTGGAGTTTGTCAACTTCTCTTGATGAATATCCAAGCACACGACGTAGTGCAGGGGCTAGAGAACCAATGTCATTTCTTCCAACACCGCGACCAGACTATGCTGTGGGCTTTTCACGTCATGCATTTACTAGCAAGCAGATCCGCAAGCTTAAGCCATTACTCGGTGGACCTGACGAGACTTCTGTTTGCAAAGGCATAGAAGATATGCTTTTTCCATTTCTAGCTTGCGAAGTAAAGTCCACTACAGCAAATCTCCAGATTGCAGAACGGCAAAATGCTCATACTCTGACTCGATGTCTCAGAGGTGTCGTTGAGCTCTTCAAATTATTGGGGCGTGAGAATGAATTACACCGGAGAGTTCTTGGCTTTTCTTTTTGTCATAATCAGGAGCAGGTGCAGGTATTCGCTCATTTTCCCGTGGTCGAAACTGCAGAGCCGACTTCATATTATCGTGTCTGTATTGGAAAATGGAGCATATTAGACGAGCAAAGATGGAGGTCTTACAAATTTTCAATGGCCATCTACCATGACTGGGTTCCAACATTTTTTGCATTACTTTGTTCTGCAATCGACCGTTTACCGGATATACCTCCGGACATTGCACCTCGCCAGTCTCTGATTCAACCCGAGAGCCCAACGGAGGAAGAATCCTCGGGGGGCAAAAGATCATTTCCAGAGGACGAGGAACTGGTCAAAGATACCAAAAGGAAGCGTGGCAATCAACATCAGCCAGTCATTGAACGAAGGGCCTCCAGAGCTCCAAAGAGGTTGAAGGAAGGATAGTAGTGAAAGGCTGCTCTTTCTCATAGCCACCCACAACACCTTGGCCATTATCGCTTATATGTTCCTTCTTCATATAGTCCTCATTCCGGATTTCCTAAGTTTGTGTTATCAAATTGGTCAAGATTTCTCATTATCCTATTAATATGTTACGGTATGGTTTTGGGGATACTAATCGCTGCCCGGATCAGATTGCAAAAGTATGGCATAATATTCAGCATGTTAGAGATATATATACTAATTCAGTCAATCAAAGAGCAAGAAAACAGGTAATCTGTTAAGTAGTAATGTTCTCAATCCGGCGAAGCTGATTCTTGTTTACATTTTGGACTCTGTGTGCATTTACAGAAAGCGATTTGTCTATTTGACACAGACTGCCCTTAGTTATTAGCAATTATCATTTGCAACCCAGCCGCAGAGTACATATGTATCTCGACCCATATGCTTTAATAAGCCATGCATCACCCCAGTTGGTCAATCACAAAGCACATCTATCTTCGGCTAGCCCAATTTCTCTACAGAATGTGGCTGCTGGAAACGGATCCCGGACCCCTAAATACAATCTTCTAGCATGCTCCTTCCATAAGAGGATCTAAAGATAAAGTGCAGGGGTGGGTCTAATTATCTATTCAGATCCCAAGGTACTGGTTGGCGGTGGCAGGAGGTAGTAGTCAAGACCACATAGGCAGAGGTGGCAGAGAATCAGCCGATGCCTGGCTACACTGAATGTCTCAAATGATTTGGAAATAAACTAAATAGGGGCTGTGTCACACGATTTATTTAAATACTATATAGTATCAGCTATCCTTAACTCTCAAACATCTGGCTAATGCGCCATCCAATGACTAATATTGGGCATACTGCAGCACTTCAATTCCCAAAAACCGATTTAGCAAGCTCCAACAGCTCAGCATGACCGATCTCAACATCCTCTTCAGATGACTCTTTTGGTCTTCCCATAAGATCCTTGAACTTTAGCTTGACTGAATCACCCTCTACATGGGGTGATCCAGCTCCATAATTCACTGTAGTCCTGGATTTTAGCACAGGCCGGTAATCATTAGGGCCTCCCTTGGACTGAGACCTAGTGTTATGAGACTTTTGATCTTCGGGGCCGTATTTCTCAAGCACAATACACTTGGTTTTCATCAACACATTGATGATCAAGACAACCTTAACCTCCCCAACGGAGTTTGCAATCCACCACGCAGCATCCTGCCGCAGACGTGGCATGGAATCATCAGACACTGCAGATTCAATCACAAAGGAAGGCCAGTGCCGCTTATCAGATCGAACAGCAGGGTTTTTGAAGGCACCGTCCCCTTCTTTGATCAAGCCCCATGGTCCTTCAAATTCTGAGGCCCCGAGGGACACGAACTGATCGATATCAATGTCCATGTTAGCGAGCTTGCTCGATATATTGTAGTAGAGATTATCATGCACAGTTTCGGTGGTGTTGGTAACCACCTTGAGTACGAGGGTGCTGATTTCAGGGTAGTAGGTGAAACGGACTGCGCTGCCAAGTTTCTTTCGATGACTTTCAATAAATCGAAAGTCTTTCAAAGAAACATCTTTGAAAGATAGGTATTGGCTGACATCTCCTGTTTCCAGTCTTTGTTGTAGATCTGCAATGGCCTTGATTAGGGCTTGCAGGTCCTTGTAGGGTGTAGGAGGGCACTTCCTGATGAGGGCGAGCTCGGATGAGGAAGGTATTCTTGTAAGATGGAGCAGCTGAACAAAGAAGTGAGTATAAAGGGTGATGCTTAGGGTGATTGGGGGTGGGCTGATAAAACCAATCGTAGGGGTGAAGCACGGCCTTAAATAATGATGAGTGATAAAGAGTATAGCTTGACTATACTATATTATTCGTGAATCTTCGGGGTGTTCTCTGCTCATCTCCGGGGTGTGCCGTTCTTCAGTTCCGTGCAAGTACACTTCTCCAAGCAACTTTCTGAGCATAAGGCGACACCTAAGCAATGCCGGGCTTTGCCCGTAATGATCTCGAGATGATAGTTTTAATCAATTTCTTATCGGCTGTTTTCATTGCCTATCTTGAGTATGCTTGAGTCTATATCTGTCTTTTCATTGAACCATATTTATCAGGCTACGCCACCTTTATCAAGATGTGATGATCCCGCACTCCATCTCCTTACTTTCCATTTCATAAACCTTTACCTTTTATCTTTGAAAGAAATCGTTGGAAGCAATGGTCCGGAACATCCCAGATCGAGAACAAACAACCTGCAAAAGTCCTAAAAGCTTGGTACCTCTGTTGTATTTCTCTGTCTTTCACCGATTTCTGGACAGTACTATATGCTTTCACATTTGATTCTCGACCATGTCGCCATCAGATGATACCCAACGTTCCTTACTTAATTAATCCTGCACAGAAGCCCGTCTTGATACACTCACTTTGATTCAGTTATTTTCCTCTCTACAGTCAAAATGCCTCGCATAAAACAGACAGCTCCATCAAGAAAGCTGTCGAAGAAGCGATCGCATTCGTGAAATAGCACAGAAGAAACTAGCTACTACAGAGAAACAAAAATCCTCTTCGCCATCGAGCAAATGTACAAAAGTATGTATGATACGAGTAATTTGCTATACTACTATCAGACACTGACGTTGTGGGTATGATAGCCACAAACCAAACCATCAGCCAACATGCATAAAAAGCGAAAAGCACCGGCACCACAGCATTCAGATAGACAGCCCAAAAAGCCTTGTCAACAGCGGAATTCTGCTGTTTTGGATCCTGTAAACATTGATCAGGAGGTATGTCATTTGTTACTGTTCATATAATGAAGAAGCGTAATAGGGCTGACACTACTCTAGTGGGCTCGATCATTTATACAGACTGTCAAAGGCTCTTCCATACACTACTGGATACAGACTAATCAGTGGCCGAAGAAGCTTTTCAACAGTGTCCTTGGGTGTGTTCTGATTTCGCCACCAGAAAGCTCGGAGCCTACAGAAGAAGGAAAATAAAAAAGAAAGTGAAGAGGGCAATTGAGATCGTATTGAAGCCTATCTCGGTGACAAACTTTGTGTTCTACCTTAGGTGCAAGGGCAGCTATCTAAATGGCGACAGAAACGGGATTACCAAAGATGACATGAAGATGTGTCAGGGATAATTCGAAAGAGAATGTGAGACTCCCAAAGACACACTATTGGACAGTGATGCTTGGTCCCATATCTACAAGAGATAGCTCCGAAAAACAAAACTGCAATCATTCGGTTAATAGCTCGGTATATTGTTCCTTCTGCTGAGCTTGAAACATGCAGAGGTAAAGTCAGCAGATCCATAAGTCTGGTTGACAGTATAAATGAGGCTTGGACATACTCAGTTCGACTTCAGGAGGATCCCAGGTCTGCAACTACTCTACATATTGCCTGTAAAAGCTCTACCTCTAAGTAACAAGGAAAAAGAAATACCACACAAAATCCCAGACTTTCTTTGCTAGCGAGCCATTTATTCAGCCGGAAGGGTAAAAGAAGCAAAAGAAATTTGCCAAAAAAAGATTGGAGTCAAAGGGGATCGAACCCTTGACCTCTCGCATACTTGCGAGGATGCAAAGCGAGCGCTCTACCACTGAGCTATAACCCCAGTCTTCTTGTGGCAATATAATTATTTTTAAAATATATATTATATTTTAGGCTAGTTGTAATATTTTACTTAATATATGCGAACACATAGACTTTCGTCCAAAGTTACTTTGTCATGATAGCCTACTCTGCCTGGCCAGAATAATTACTATTTCCCGAGATTTATCTGCAATCACCTTTCTATGTATTATTAATCTCTTGCAGTCACATGTTCACGAATAACCCTGATTTTGAGTTATTACACTAGTACGGATCGTGTACTCCGTAGGTTACTTATATTGATGGATGAGCTATCATGTACTGTATCAAGACCCAAGGGAAAGCAATATGGAAGGTCCTAATAATCAAGGTACTTATCTTCTCCACCAATAAACTCCGAATATCTGTCAGAACCGTGGCCAGACATAGTATATCACGAAATAGGTAGACAGAGAGAAGTATGCCTGATTTGTCGCCATCTAAGCGCTTACAAGAAATGTAGTAAAAGACGTGGTTGGTGCTAGGGGATTCCAACACATGGCCTTGGCCACTAATATTATCGCTCTAACAAATAACCCCTGTAACTTATGCCCAATTTCGGGGCTATTGGGTATTTACGCATGTGCACACATGTACTCGCCATCCTCGTTAAAATGGTTAATGCTTCCGGCTGATAAGACTCCTCTTATACGGAGTGTCAGAAACTAGACTATTAAGTATTCATCTAAGTCTGCCTTTTCCAATCGCACCAGGATGAGGAAACTCTATAAGAAAGTCATAAACAAAGCACATTCACATAGACGGGGCGCAGGAGTAGTGGACGCTGGCAGCAAAGATAAGACGGACGATGCTGACCGCAGCCTTGCGACAGAAGCTGAGCGCCCTTCAACAGAAGTCCATCACGATGATAGATCCCAGAATGCCTCTCTTCCTATTGAAAACCCTTTTGATGAAGCATTGAAGAAGCTTCAGACCCGACAACCATGGGAAGAAGCTTACAATGCTGTTCAAGAAAGCCATCCGGATTTATTCAATGCGTACACTCGGGCTTTACTTGAATGGGGTGGCCATACAGGAGATGAGGCCCTGGACCGAAAGCAAGAAGTGCAAGCTCTTGCTCAGGAACAACTTGAAGTGTGACAGTCGGAGCAATTCCGTTTTTCATTCAATGGGAAAGACATCATTGTTGGAGAATTGGCGAGAAAGGTAGTCGGAGTTGTGCTCTCTGTTAAAGATGTGGTCTCTTCCGCCATTTCAGCTGATCCCCATACTGCGTTGGCCTGGGCTGGCGTTATGGTGGCTCTCCCAGTAAGTTGATTGATCTCGAACTATCTTGCTGTTTCTAAAACCCTGTAGATGCTCGCAAACATCCTAAAGCAGGACTCGGATGCCATGAGCGGATTGGATGACATTTCTGCTCTGCTAGTCCGCTACCGCTATGTGGAGGAAGACAAATACTACGGAGCCGCCATGACCTCAGCGTAAGCATTCGAGTGATAATTAACATGCACAAGAGGCAGTCTGAGTGCTAAGAGATCTTGAAACTTCTAGGACCTCGGTTGACAAGGTGAATCTTCTTTTGCTCATCCAAGACAAATTCGTCGATATGTATTCCCAGATATATGTCTATCAGCTCCGCCTCATAAAGCATTTCCAACACCATAGAGCCGCTAGATATTTCGAAAACCTGAAGGACAGCCTCGGAGACGAAAACTGGAGTACAAGCCTGAATAAGCTACAGACAACGAGGGATAGCCTCGATCGCGACCTGGAATCTGTCACAAACGGCATGGTTTTTGCGATTGGGAGCAAAGTCGATAACTTTTCGAAAATGGTCGAGGACCTCAAGGATGAGTTGAAAAACCAGACTCGTTTGCTGTCAGAGCAGAGAGATCGAATATTGAGGGCATTTAAGTTCTCTGCCATGGCCCCATTTGATTCGTTCAAAAACGCTGAAGAGCCAAGGTGTCTCAAAGACACTCAAGTGGAGACGTTGGACATGCTTCAGAATTGGTGCCAGGGCGATGGAAATCCAGTGCTCTGGCTTCATGGGATGGCTGGAACGGGCAAGTCAACAATTGCTCGGACTATTGCATGGGCGCTTCAGGACAGACAGTGGCCTGATGGCAGCCCTGTTGATATTAATATCAGACTGGGGGGAAGCTTCTTTTTCAATCAATTTGAGCCGGAACGCAACAACAGCCAGTACCTTTTCCCAACCCTGACACAGTGCTTGGCGGAGTCCTTGCCGGACATAAGGCAGTACATTGTTGATGCCATTGATCAAGATGCGCGCATCGAAGAGAAAGGACTTCGGGTACAATGGGCTAGACTCATTTCTGAGCCATTGCATAAGCTTACCAGTTCTTCACAGGCTCACTGGCGCTTCATTATGATTGTTGATAGCCTTGATGAGTGTGGGGACCAAGACAAAGTTGCCACTGTATTGAAACTCTTGGCCTCCCTAAAAGATCTGCCATCGGTTCGATTTCTAGTCACCAGTCGCCCAGAAGCCCACATTCAATTTGCTTTTGAGAGCCTGCCACCCGAACTGTACCATTCTCAGCCACTTCATAAGATCTCATCCAAGAGTTATGACATCACTCGCTTTCTTGAAGCAGACTTAAAGAGAATCTGTGAAAAATACAAATCCGCGATACCAGAGGGCTGGCCAGGTCAAGTGAACATCGAGAAGCTGAAGGAGAAGTCAGATGGACTTTTTGTGTATGCTTCAACATGTTGCCGGTTTTTGGAAGATCCATACCACTATTCCTCTCGACTGGATCAGATTCTCAAAAACGATAGCGAAGCCGAAACGCCCCAGGCGAAGTTAGACGAGATGTATATCAAGATCATAGAGATGTCTCTGAATGCGAGAACCAAGAAAGAGCGGGAAATCATGATCGAAGACTTCCGACTGATTGTTGGGACTATCATGGTAACATTCAAGCCAGCCTCAGCTTCCACTTTAGAAGCACTTTTGTTCTCTTCATGCTCGAGGGATAAGCGTGTCCAAAGATGTGTTGAGCCACTCAAATCTCTTTTGGATGTTCGGACAGCAAATGATCCAATCCGTCCAGTTCATCCTTCTTTGCGCGACCTTTTGTTGAGTCGTGAGCGCTGCAAAAGCACCCCAGAGCTTTACATCAATCCTCAACAGCTGCACTTGATCTTGTTCGAAAGATGTATGGAAACAATGAAGAGCCTCAAGCAAGATCTTTGTGACTTGGTGCTTCCTGGATCATCGCCATCAGATGTTCCCTCGGAGAAACTGGAAACTTTCCTACCAGCTGCATTGTGCTACGCGTGTCGCTATTGGATCGATCATTTGATGCAGCTGGGCAGTGATGAGCAAAGCGAGTTGCTGAATGATAACGGGGGTATTGTTGAATGCTTTCTTCGACAAAAGCTTCTCTTCTGGTTCGAAGCCTTGAGCTTCATGGGTGAGCTTGAAGTTGGTGTTTTTCAACTCAGTGCTCTCCAGGACCTTGCTAGAGTATATCAATCCACGTTGTTCCTAACCATATCCTCGGATTTACTGACAACCCATAACAGGACTCTCATTACTTTCCGCTTGTCAGAGATGCGAGGAGATTCCTACTTCACAATCGGCACATTATTGAGCAAGCACCTTTGCAGGTCTATTCTTCCGCTCTCGTATTTTGTCCAATGAAAAGTCCCATCAAAGAGTTTTATTCACACCTCATACCCTCATGGGTGACACAACAACCTGTCATGGACGATGACTGGTCTCGGGAGCTCTTTGCCATTGAAACCGAAGAGAGAAACACTGGCAATATTGTATTCTCCCCAGATGGAAAGACAGGTGCTTCTTCATCTTACTGGGATGGCAAAAATTATCTCAAGCTGTGGAACGCTCAAACAGGGAAGGTGAAGTATCAAACAACAATAGGGGGATACTTTGGTGTTGAATTCTCCCGAGATGGAAGTCTAATAGCGCATGGGACTGAGGACGGAAGAGTCAGACTGTGGAATCTTGAGACCGATGAAGAGTACTTTCTGGGTGAAGTGGGTAAAAACGAAATCAGTCGTATTGCATTCTCTCCAGTTAGCGACTCTCTCATATTTTCCAGGGCAGATCATTCTGTTGAAGTGTGGAACTATGGCCATTGTCAACAGATTTATGCACCTTTTACTCAATTTCGGGATAATTACGATAGCCTCGACACATGTGCGGTTGGATTCTTGTTCAATGATGAGGCTGTGGTACTCTATTCAGGTTATTTTGAACATACTTGGGAGATCTATTTGCTTAATGAAGCGGGCACAGAACTTGAGTGTATTGTAGAGGGTGAGGCGCCTGCATATACGAGAACTAACTTCTGCGTTTCGAGGAATGGGTGCCGAGTTCTAGTATCAAATCAGCATATGGTGAAAATATGGGATGCCAAAACAGGACGTCTGAGTCCCGAACTGATTGCTTGTGACGAAACTCAGACCGGTGATCGTGATATACATACAACGGCTTTATCTTCCGACGGTCGCTTCTTTGCAACTTCCTCGCTGGACTATACTGTTCGTGTCTGGGATTCAGTTACTCATACCCAGATCTTTAGTTTTCGATATGACCAAGACGACATCGAAACAAGTGCGCTTTCCCACGATGGATCACTACTATTAGCATTAGGCTCCTTCGATGGTACACTCCGACTATGGGACATTGCAGTTGATCGCTCCCATACTGAGATCACCAACCCTAAAGCCAGAATCACTTACCCCTTTGGAATCGAGGTCATCACAAATACTGAAGGTGCTACCACGATGTTGCGGAAAGAAGACACGGGGAGTTGTCGGTTTTATACTGAGGACTTCAAATCTCTCCATTTATTGATGCAGGGTAACTTGATCGCACTGATACTGAGGGCAAAGACACTCAATAAACTTACAGCTCATTTTTTGAGTATGGACCTGGAAAAGCAGTCTTCCGGGTTTTACCTTGGAGATAACCGAGACGTGATCGTATCGTCCTCTAACGGGGAGAAAGTGGCTGTTCTTGGTGAGGAGCATGTATGGGTATTGGACGCAAAAATGTCTGAAGAATTATCTATTCCTCTACCAAAGAGAATCTATGATCTTCAATTCTCACCAGACAGTCGATTTATCGGTATGATCTTTTCGCGCGGCGTCGACATATGGGACCTGGAAAACAAAAATAAGATCACTTTGCGTACAGGACTCCCCTGCACGCCGGCCATAGGATTCTCACCGAAGTCTGATGCTGTTGCCATTTTGGTTCGGGATCATAGTTTCAAACCACGCTGTTGTCTACTTGAGGTTTGGCAAATAAGCAGGCATCCTTCTCAGCAACTAAATGAACGTACGCCTCCTTCGAATAATCTTCAGACGATTAGCTCGGTGATCTATTCTGCAGGTGGCAATTATATTGTTATGCAGACGCTGCAGCGTTCTGACACTGCCTCGCATAACTCGTTACGCGGTACACTTGTTCTAGTTACGTACAATCTAGCAACAGGATTGATTCAGAACATACCATGTACGGTAGGACGATTTGTTTCTCACGGTCCAATGGCGGCCTGGTCAGATTTGATTGCTATAGCACTAATTTTATCAACGGAGAAGCCCGTCATTGCCGTCATAGATTGCAACACTGGAGAACGGATTTGCACATTTGACACTTCAGTGTTCCATAAAGGCTTAGTTCTCGAAGAAATGTCATTCTCAAGTGACGGTCGGTATCTCAATCTCGATCGAGGACAAATCCTTATCCCAGTCGATAATTGTTCCCCAACAGCTGAAATGTACTCACCATCCAGTTTGTGGATTGGGGAAGAGTGGATCTTCCAAAGAGGGCGAAAGTTGCTATGGATCCCTCCTGAATTCCGGAATCGTCGCATGAGTGTGCAGTTTGACGCAATTTGGGTCTATCCGAGGTTTGGGGTTGTCGGGCCGATTGTCTTCTTCAAACTCGATCTTGCAAAGACCCCTTTCGCTGCTGAGGTGCCACCAGAAGGAGAAGGATTTCGTTTTGATGAGCAAGAGAGGGTGATGTATCTTCGCTAGGTTCAGAAGTTGGTTTAGTTTGTTAGAGTATCGAGCACGGCATGGTTCATACGGAGAGGTATGTGACCGGATAAAGCTGCCAAGATGTTACACATTCAGGAATACGTAGCGAACTCGGTCAATAGGCAGTATGCAGTAGTCCGAAGGAATAGTAGATAGTACAAGTATTGAAAGTTGTTCGATTGCTGCAGAAATTCTGCTCGATAGTAGGTATCTAATGAGTTTTACATACAGTCATTAAGGTGTGCTCATACATCCACATGCTCCAACACCACGCTACCCTTTCGCGCCGTCGCCTCCACATATCCCGGATTCTCTGCCTTCAGCTGTTTGAACGTCTTCTCTGCATCCCATACCCACGGGCTCTCCGACGCGAAAAGCAGATCCATGTCCTCCAAGGTACGTTGATTACTCTCTGGGTAGAATGCCCACACCATCGGGATTGCGATGACGTTACTAGCCGCGAAAACATATAGCGTTTTCTCGCCAATAGCGCCAAACATCACAGGGCATAGAAGTGTCTAGTTGGCTGCGTTAGCTTCGCTTCGCAGTTCAGGAGAATGAACTTACCAGCCATCCGTTTCCGATACTCCACCCGACCACGCCCCAGGCATTTCCGCGGGCTCGTACTGCGAGGGGATAAATTTCGGCGGGATAGACCCAGGGTACTATAAGTTTGTGATTAATGGGTGGCTCTTGAGGAGAAGCTAGGTATATACCTGTCAGCCATGTGGCTCCGAACGCCGCAGTAAAAATAAAAATCATTGCGGCTGCGGCTGCTCCGAATGAACTGGCGCGAGCAGCATCGCCAGAGTCGCGAGCATTGATGGCTAGGCGGGAAAATCCTCCTGCTAGGAACATGGCAATTCCTTGACTGACGGCTCCCCAGTATAGGGTCCATCGACGACCGATACGATCGAGCGTGAAGACACATACGAGCGTTGCGAACTGAGTTGTTAACCACGTCCCATAAGGGAAGGCATAGTACTCACCATGTAGAAGACGTTATTCAGACCACTAAGCCATTGACTCTTCATTGAGTCAAAGCCGGCAATGCTGAAGATGGTGGGCGCATCTGTTCAAGTTAGACTAGTCCGGTATCTATCATATTGTGGTTGACATACAAACAGTGACACCCGCGATACCAACCCATTCCTGCATGATCTGCAGCCAGACGACCAGCTGCACACGTCGTCCAAGATGCAGTCTGCCTGTCTTGTGTCCAAACAGCATTGCTAGGTATGAAGTTCTGTGATTCATTGATCGTTCCATTTCTGCAACGTTCTGGATATCCCGGAACTCGGCTTCAGCGCGGACAGCATCGTCGCCGGTACTTCCTCGCAAACGGCCAAGGATGTAACGCGCTTCTTGCTCGCGACCAACTTTGACTAGCCAACGTGGTGATTCGGGAAAGAACCAGACCGAGAAAAACAAGAGAAGCAAGAAGATAATCTGAAACGCGATGGGGAAGCGCCAGCGGAACGCGGATTTGCCGCCATCGATAAAGGACAAGCCACTATGCGAATTAGACAAGTCTCGGAGGTAGCAAGATATACTTACAATTCGAGCCAGTAAGCCACTACGACACCGAAGATGTTGAGAGTACATTCGATCGCAATAAACTGTCCACGCGAGGTATGTTCGGCTGTCTCTGTAGCCCAGACGGGCACAATAGCATTCAGGATTCCCGTGCCAATACCATTGATAAAACGGGCTGTAGTTCATACGTCAGTCCGAAGTGCGAATAGTGCGAATAGTCTCTATGGGTCTCTGACAGCAAATCATCCAATTGTGGTTCTGCGCTGCGCATTGCAATGACGCCCCCAAAATCGCCCAGACCGCACCCGAAGCGATAGTCCTGATTCTGCCAATCTTGTCACCGATCCAGCCACCGATTAGTGCACCACACAAAGTCCCCAGGTAGTAGACAGACACAATTCCGCCTTGTAAAAGACTGTCTGTAACGACAGAGGTAAGCTCTCCGTTCACTTCCTTGGTATATCCGAAACCCATAAGGTCGATGTAGTCTTTGGAGTTGTTCACACCCGACATCATGCCCTGGTCATACCCGAAGAACAGGATCGACAAGGCCGCGATGCAATTGATAGCGATGAGAAGATTACGCTTCTCCAATTTGTGGACAATATTCCATGATGGTATTAGGTCACTCATGCTGACTACTCTAGAATCCGCGGTTGTAGTGACTGTTTGGGTGTATACTGGAAAATACCTTTTTCTTTTCACTTGTGACTTCAGGCACGGAGACCGCGTGACTATGAGGAGAGATCAGCCACCTCCAGTACAGATAGACGTGGAACCAGGAAGCAGGGTTACAGAGACAGCGGGGCGATGCGACGATTAAATAGAAAGGACTATAAGCTCGGTGGTGCCATTTGCACCTGAAGATCATCCATTTTGAGGAGTAATCCCACGGCACAGGACCGGTGCCAGCCCGATGAGTCGAATATGGTTACATTCCGGGTGGGAGGGCATCAAGCAGCCATCAGACACTCGGTTCCACTCCAAAGCAAGGACGCCATTGGAATACAGGACCCGCACGAGAAAGTCTGGAGAGAATGGGTGGGAACCCGACCCCAGACCGGGACGCGGACGAGTCCAAATCGGTCATTCGGCCAGCGCCTATGCTGCCGAGCTGCAGACCGAAGGATTATGGGCCAATGTCCGAGGTGGAAACTGAGACGGCATGGTACTATGTGCTGTAGGTGTCGTGTAGGGAAACATGGTGGGTAATCAAGCGAAACTCGGCTGCTAACATTGCATCATCCGGGGTTGGCGTCTGGGGAACGCACTCCATGTACGGACTTGGAGATTCGAAGAAAGCAGCGGTATCGGCGGGGCCCGCGAAGCCAACGATAAGCTGGAGCGGGTGGTACAGAGTAGCTGGGATAGCGGATTGGGCCATCAGGGAGTGGATGGTCTGGGGTGTGGATGTTTCCCGGGGATTTTGGTCCAAGCGGGTGGGGATTTCAGCCAGATTGAGGAAATCCGGAGAACATCGCGGCGGACCAACTCCGACTCGCCTCTTTGGGACATCCCGTGCCACTTTAGCTTGCCAGCTATTTTGCTGAGTGTAGACACGAATTTTTACCAGGTGACTACTATCTTCTTATTGCTATAATAAGTTCTCATTATTGTTTGTAAACGATCAGGGTCTTCTCTCGTAAGATTTATGTTTCTTGGGATATTAGCCTCATCAACGCACACAATCACCTACGTCGAGCTCTCTATTCCCGTCAGACTGTTGCGAATTTTGCAAGCCATGAAATAATGACACGGAACAGTATTAAGAAGTAGCTTGACCCTTGTTCAAGGCAGATATATCTCGGTTGCCAGGGAGCTGTGGGGCCTGTCTGAGATTCCCTACTGGCGCATCGATGATCCCAAAAACCCGGTGAGATGAGGCTCCTCCGAAAGTTAACAATAAAGTGTGATTAAGTAGCTTTGTAAGTAGCCTTGTCAGTCCTGCTTTGTTGATCCTGTGCTGCTGCTGCTGCTACTGCTGCTGCTGCTCGTGCAGCATGGCGTGAGTATCATATGCACGGCCCTTGACTGATGTTAGGAGACTACTTCATCTCCGCATAGTGCTAGGGACCTTCCGCGCTTTTGCCCTTCGCATATCTGGCTTTTGTTGGCTGTATTTTGTAGAATCTAAAGGTTCCCGATTGTTCCCAACTGTCGGTATATCCCAACGGAGCGGTTTCAGGTATAGCATTCGGATACCCTTATCACAATGATGACGGAGTTTTGCAAAATTCTTATAAAACGTCGCAAGATATCAAGATAGAGCTCTTACCAGAACTTGTCGGGATTCGGTGAACCCGTCTCTGGTATGACTTTCCAGCCATAGTGGTAGTCCAGGGGCACTTTATCACCGCTTGGCATCATTTATTGCATATTTTGTCGCCCAATAAGATCAGGGTGTAGCAGAGCAATATTCATTGATACCAGACCACAGTTACACCAAACTCAGGGCCAAGCTTGAAGCAACGGGTTGTAGAAGTGCACTCCAGTATAGACGGAGTGGGCGCCAGCAGCTTCCGAGCCGCTAAACCTTGTTGGGGCCCATCATCCACCTTGGATAGACAGTTCTATGTTTAATTGATTTTCTTGTCGCTGTGTATAGTGTCTCACTGCATTCTGCTTCTGTGCAGTTAGCACTGCCATTGCCAGAACGTGAGCTGTTATTGCAGAAGATATCTCGCCAATGTGATTGAGCTGTGCCGTTTCTCAACGGTTTCCGTTCCGGACAGAACAATTTTGGGCGAAACAATATAATTCCGGATCTGCATGAGAGCATGAGTGGTCACCGAGGAAAGCCATGATCCTACAAACGACCAAAACAACACATTCACAGTCAACTTGAGGCGCTTAGTCGTGACCTAGAAGCAAATATTCTTCAGACGGGGCACCGCTGTTATCAACTAGATCTTCTCCCCCAACTGCCAAGCCTGTAGCCACTACAGGAAGCACGCCAGTTGAGCCGACACTGTGCAGTCTTATGGTGGACATGTCGACCACCAGCACCAAGTTAAGCTAACCCCCCATATCAGATTTGAAGCTACGGACGTCGATGCTCCGCAAGGTGCGCTCTGCTAACGCAGGTCACGTCATATCAGTCCAAGCACATCCATATTATCCAATAAAGAGCGCGAGCACTTCGAGCCAGACTGGATGAGTTCCGAGCGATCCATTCAATCCGCGTTTCAGTCTTTCAGTCCAATGGTCTTCAGCCCAAGACCTGGATTACCTTTAAGTGCCGTGCACTGGCTCGAGCTATGCCGACGATAGCCTTTACGGAGCCAGGGGCTCAGCCAGTTACCCGCGGAGACTGACGAGTATCGGTAATTTTCATTCCCAGAGGCACCGGAGAGCAGTTCACGATGCAAAGATTGATCGTTCCCTGGAGCGTGAACTCTGCAATGTTCGAGACTGCGAGTTGAATCCCTTCTGCGGACTCCGAAGCGGGAGAGAGTCTGGTTCCTTACCCTTTTGGGCAATTCTATGAGGTATTTTGGGCCGTAACACTGACCGGTATTCAACCATGTGCAGCCCCGGCACGGCCTCGTACGCTTGATGACAAGCGACGAGGGAACTACCCCAGATATCAGAAGCAGGAGAAACTTCTGGGGATTGAAGAGCCAGACACAGTAGCGGAATTACGGTTCAGCACAACATCGGCAACATGGCAAAGTTTAGCCGAATTGACCCGACGCTCACGGGGGCGGATGATTACATACGCGAGGCATACAGTATCGATACCGGGCCGCCAGCTTTTGCTGGCGAACCTCTTAGAAAGCTTCTTGTCCCAACATCGTTTTTCCCTATCATCCTCTAACCACTTGAGCCCGTCTCCTCCCACCTCCAATTGTCCCCTCCCCTCCCCTTCGTTGCTTGTTCACTGGGAGGCCTGGTAGTCTGCTGTTCTTCCTATATCCTTTGACTTTTTCCTTTACCCTTTCGCCTCCTTTTCACCATGTTCCGGAGTCTTTTGCCGCGGGCGACTCCGCGGGTTGCCCTCCGCTGTGCCGGTCCCAAGGCCGTTCCCTCTACCTTCGTCGCTGCTCCTTCTCTCGCCTCCTTTGGACGCACGCAACGTGGCTATGCCTCTGAGTCAGGTACGTGACTTTTGCCCTTTGCGATAGGCCCGTCGCAGACGGTGCCTGCGCTTCCGAAAAAAGTGGCCCCCGGCTAACCGTCGGCTGGAATTAACACAGGCGAACACGATCTTGTCATCATCGGTGGTGGTGTCGCTGGTTACGTTGCCGCCATCAAGGCCGGTCAGGAAGGTCTGAAGGTGCGCTATCCATCGTTCCTGGAAGGTGTGCCGGCTAGACGATTTCTCTAACAACTACATTTTCACAGACCGCATGTATCGAGAAGCGTGGCCGTCTGGGCGGTACCTGTCTGAACGTCGGCTGTATCCCCTCGAAATCCCTGCTCAACAACTCCCACCTCTACCACCAGATTCTCCACGACACGAAAAAGCGCGGTATCGAGGTCGGTGATGTGAAGCTGAACCTTGAGCAGATGATGAAGGCCAAGGACACTTCCGTTGAGGGTCTGACTAAGGGTATCGAGTTCTTGTTCAAGAAGAACGGTGTCGACTACGTCAAGGGTACCGGTGCTCTCGTTGACCAGAACACCGTCAAGGTTAACCTCCTTGACGGTGGTGAGCAGACCCTGCGCGGAAAGAACATCCTCATTGCCACTGGTTCTGAGGCTACTCCTTTCCCCGGCCTCAACATTGACGAGAAGAGAATCATCACCAGCACTGGTGCCCTCTCCCTCAAGGAGGTCCCCAAGAAGATGATCGTCATCGGTGGTGGTATCATTGGTCTGGAAATGGTGCGTATACCCGGCGGAATACATTCCGATCTTGCCGTTTGAAAATTCATGCTCATGGTTTCTTTTTCTGCCCCTCAACAGGCCTCTGTTTGGTCCCGCCTCGGCTCTGAGGTCACCGTCGTCGAGTTCCTGAACCAGATCGGCGGTCCCGGCATGGACGCCGACATCGCCAAGCAGGCCCAGAAGATCCTCCAGAAGCAGGGTATCAAGTTCAAGACCGGCACCAAGGTTACCAAGGGTGACGACAGCGGTGCTACCGTCGCTCTGAGCGTTGAGGCCGCCAAGGGTGGTAAGGAGGAGACCCTCGACGCTGACGTTGTCCTCGTCGCCATCGGTCGCCGCCCCTACACCGAGGGTCTCAACCTCGAGAGCGTCGGTGTTGAGAAGGACGAGCGCGGCCGTCTTGTCATCGACCAGGAGTACCGCACCAAGATCCCCAACATCCGCGTGATCGGTGACTGCACTTTCGGACCCATGCTTGCCCACAAGGCCGAGGAGGAGGCCGTCGCTGCCATCGAGTACATCAAGAAGGGCTACGGCCACGTCAACTACGGCTGCATCCCCAGCGTCATGTACACCCACCCTGAAGTCGCCTGGGTTGGCCAGAACGAGCAGGAAGTCAAGGCTGCCGGCATCAAGTACCGTGTCGGTACCTTCCCCTTCAGCGCCAACTCCCGTGCCAAGACCAACCTCGAGACTGAGGGTCAGGTCAAGTTCATCGCCGATGCTGAGACCGACCGCATCCTCGGTGTCCACATCATTGGCCCCAACGCCGGTGAGATGATCGCCGAGGCCACCCTGGCTGTCGAGTACGGTGCCTCTTGCGAGGACATTGCTCGCACCTGCCACGCTCACCCTACCCTGGCTGAGGCCTTCAAGGAGGCTGCCATGGCTACCTACTCCAAGGCCATCCACTTCTAAGCAGCTCTCCCCCTGTTTTGATCATGAAACTATACACACCCACCCGCACTATCCTGTACCCTTTTTGCCTCTTGTCTCTTATCTTAGTCTAGCTCAGCTAGCCACTTCCGTGTAGCATTGACCTCATTATATTTTCCTATCGTTGGTTGTGTATCCAGATATAACGAAACAATAGTACTGCTTAACATTAATCACTTGTCGGTAAAAATCGTAGTCCCGATGTAATAGAGGACCAGTTAACTAACAACTAACTCCTCAACCAAGTTTTCGCAGTGTGGAGAAGCGGAAGAAAAAAAATAAAAAGAGAATTTGAGCTCCGATAGGGGGAATCGAACCCCCGGCTGCCGTGTGAGAGACGGCGATGTTAGCCACTACACCATATCGGATGTTGTTGGAAACGGAGCAGTGTTTTTGTATTATAGGCCACTGGTAACGGATATAACCTACAGCTTTTTTCTATCTATTGTGTTTCCTGTCCGGCTATACTATATTCAAGGGATATCATAGATAAATCCATTGAATAGTTGAACCATGCCCATGAGACTGTGAATATGTAGCAGGCAGTGTAGTGTTCATATACAGGAAGAATAACTTCCACATCTTATACCGCTGGAACGGTTCTCAGACAAATAACGAATCAACAAGCAGTTATGTAGTTGACTCTTTAGGCTACTCAACTTATTTATATATTCGGGATTATACCATTCATTCGGCATACTACTACAACAAATCACGTCCAACAAATCACTACCCACTGCATAAAGACCCATCAAATACATCATATACCATTCACGCTCATAACCCTCTCACTTCTATTAACTATCTCCCAGACCTGAAAAAATAAAAACTAATCAATGAAACCTCAACGTCGCCGTAACCGCCGCATCCAACAACAAACTCGTAGCATTAACATAACTCGCCGACGGACTAAGCAAATAAACAATCGTGTCGCCCACCTCATCACTCTCCGCCGCACGCTTAATGGGTATAACGGCCTCGATCTCCGCGCGCACCTGCGGGTTCCGCTCCAACTCGACGTCAAGAAGAGGGGTGCGGACCCAGATGGGACATACGGCGTTGCAGCGGATGCCTTCGGCGGAGTGGTCCAGTCCTGTACCAAATATCATAAATATATATATCAGGGGAACGGGTCGGATTGAATAGGATAGTATCGTGTATAAGGTATGGGGGGGAAAGGGGCAAAACATACCAACCATCTTCGTCACCGCCATGCAAGCATGCTTGGAGACGGTATACGATCCCTTCCCAGGCAGTCCGGCGAAGGAGTTAGCTGAGCAGACGTTTACGATGGCGCCGCGGCCAATATCCCGGGTGCCGGTGCGGCTGGTGAAAGTGCGAGAGGTTTGCTTGCGCATGGCGGCGGCTTCGGCACGGCAGCAAAGGAACATACCGCGGGCGTTGATGGTCTGGACGCGGTCGAAGTTGTCGATGTCGGTGTCGGCGAAGGGGGTGTGCACGCCGTTGTCGACCTATTTGGATTTTTGGGGTTAGCTTGGTGGGAAGAGAACTATGCGCTAGGTTGTTTTGGAATATCCTCAATGGATGATGATGGTGGATGGGACTCACTCCTGCAGCGTTGACGGCATAGTCCAGCCGTCCGAACTTCTCGACCACAAAGTCAACCATGGCTTGCACGCCGTCTTGGTCGGTCACGTTGACGGTGAAGTGGGTGGATTGGTATTCGGGGTTCGTGGCGTATTGCTTGCTCTCTTCGGCGGAGGCAGTGGCTGTTTCGGTGTTCATGTCGGCGAAGACGATGACGCGGGCGCCTGCTTCAGCGAGGGAGAAGGCGGCTTGTTGGCCGATGCCGCGACCAGACTGGATTGATGGGAGGTTAGTTGGGAAGAGGGTTTCATTGTGGGGGAGGGAAAGGTTCTTACGCCGACGACCAGAGCGACGCCATCTAATTGAGTGCCTCTGATGACCATTTTGGATGTGGGAGGAAGAGGGATAAATGAGAGAAAGAGGTTGAAATAGAATTGAGGTTGTGAGTGTGTAAGAAAGAAGAAAGACAGAGAAAGGAAAGCTTGGAAATATGAGTACCTACGGAGAGGGGGGAAGTTCCCGGGGACGAGGAGGAGGGGTTAACTTATTATACTCATTCGAGACAAGGCTGGGTTATAGATAGAGTAAGGTAGTGATTGGTACTCCGGTGGTACAAAGTATGTACTCCATCAACCCCAAATAGTGAAACGAGGCAGCAATGCTATCTCTTTGTTGCCCTGTCCTGGAAAATCAAGCGAGTATCCTGGTCAACAGCAACGTTAGCCGATGTCGCGGGGGGGGATCATCTCAGACAGTTCAACTGGCTGCGTGATTTTCCACGATTGGATGACAGGCCCTTGTCTAGCCCGTTGACTACTGCATCTTAATTTAGGTTGTGAAAGGATGGGCTGACTAGTGTTTGGTCGAGCCTAAGAATGTGGGTGGCTGCCGTCAGAAATTAGTGGGGATAAAGTCAAGGATGGTCGCCAAGGAGGAGGGGAATCTCTCTGTAAGGAGTAGATAACTAAGAGCGAACTAGACAAGGGGGTATGTGCATGGAGTATTGATCTTACGAGAGAGAGCCTTGCACTGCCTCCATAGCAATGATACCCACCATATACTTACGTATACTGCGGATAATACTAGGTACTGTGCACTGATGCACCAGAGGGCACTCCGCACTACTCCTGTTTAGGAGGTATGAAGGAGTGGGATATAATAAGCATTCGGGCATGAGTGATAATGATCACGTCTCCACAGATGTTGGTGGGGGCGGCGGGAAGGAAGCGGGGGAAGGAGGAGATTGAAATAAGATTCTAGTACAATCAAATTATAGGAATCATGGAAGTGACTGAACAGCTCCAATTCACGTTCAATTAGAATACTATCACTACTATCACCAAACACCAAGCCCTAAGCACCAAGGCCCAAGTCTAACTTCAATATTACCCCCCTTCACTACGTAGATATCTCTCTCTTTCTAAACCTGCAGAAGACTATTGTAAGCTCTGTTCTTTAATTCCCAATACCTCTCCTTCGACCTCTTCACCATCTCCTTTCGACGGTATCACGAATAATCGTTCCCGTTTCATGACCAACGCCAGCACCACAGACAGAGCGGCAGCGGCAATCATCAGGACAAACACGTCATCGACACTGCTCACAATAGCAGCCACCACGCGCTGACGCTGTGCAACACTCAACGAGCTAAATAGCTCGGCACGCACACCGGAGATGGCCTGCTGAATAGTCGAGCGGGACTGCTGAGGAAGGATGGTGGAGATGCGGCTAGTGGCCTTGTTGAGGAAGATGGTGTTGGAGATGGTCAAAGCGAGGGCAATACCGCCAACCTGACCGACGCCGATAAAGGCGACCGCCTGGGTGAGTTTGGCCGGGGAGACCTTGACCTGAGCGACGGGAAACCCAGCCTGGGAGTAGCAGCCGACGCCAAAGGCCGTGAGCACCGAGTAGCCATACAGACGAGCGCTGCTGGTGTCGGGACCGACGGTATAGAAAAGGGCGCTGCCGGCAAGGGCGAGGCAGGCACCCGCCAGGTACCATGGCATGTAGTAGCCTAGCTGAGCCATGAGGGCGCCGTTCAGCATAACGGCCACGACTAGCACGAGCACAAATGGTAGTAGGTGCACCCCGCTAGCCAACGCGCTGTCGTTATGTGCGAACTGGAACAGGATGGGCAGGAAGTAGATGGGCACCATCACCAACACCTGGGCACTGGCCATCTGTGCGAAGAGCACGTCCATCTCCCACGAGCGGACGAGCGTCGTCGGGAAGAGCCGCTGGCCCTGCGCCTCCGGTCGTAGTCCCAGCGACCACGCCTGTTGCCCAATGAATAGCAGCCATAGAACGCCCGAGCACACAAAGAGCCCGATGATCCGCCCGTTCCCCCATTCAAACAAGCTGCCTCCGAACGAGATCGCCATGATGAGACTGGTGATGGCCCCCGCGCTGAGCACCATCCCGACTACATCTAGCGCCCATATGCGCGTCAATAGCGACTGTCCTGGACGTGGTGAGGCGGTTTGGGGCAGCAGCCAGAAGTACACCGGGGCTGCTAGCCCCCCGATGCAGAGATTGATGTAGAAGGACCAGCGCCAGGTGGCCGAGGAATTGTCGGCGAAGGCACCGCCGATGATGGGTCCGAGAATGGTTCCAATCCCCCATGTCAACCCGACAAACCCTAGGTAGAGCGGTCGTTGGGCTTCCGTGGTCAAGGCCGATACCATATTGACCGTGCCTAGATAGATGCCCATGCCGCCGATGCCACAAATCGCCCGACCCACGATCAGCGCGTTCATCGTGGGTGCCGCTCCGCAGACAGCGGAGCCCACCTCGAAGATCACTACGCTGGCGAGGAAGAGGAATTTGTTGTTGAAGTGTCCGTAGATCTGGCCCCAAGGGAGATCTGTCGCGATGGCCCCAAGGGCAAATGCAACGGAGATCCATGGGAGTTTCTCAATTTCCCCCAGTGTTCCGATGATAGCAGGTTGGACATTGGCCACAATGGTGTTGTCCAGTGCAAACAGGAACAGGGCTGCTAATAAGGAGAAGACGACGAGAAACCATGTCAAAGGCTTCGAATCGTGATGGCCCGGAACGTTGGTGGCTGTCTCATGGCCCTCAACCGTTGTTGAAGCTCGAGTCTCGGACATGATGAAATGAGACTAGAAACTGGAGAGTACAAGGCCCTTAGGGACTGACAGAAAGGAGAGAGACATAGAAGGTAAGATCAGGAGTATGGGAAATGGGGAAATATCGTGGGAGGCGTTAGGGCAAACCACTCACTTCCCTTCCCATCGTATGGCCGGTTCTCGAGACATCATACTTAAGTCTAGTGTATGAGTTGAGGATTGCTTTCTAGAGCTGCAATTTGGAGAAGCATCCCTGCAAGGTCAGCGACAAGCCAGAAAGTAGCTGGTGACACACGGAAAAAGATGGGGGCCATCACAGCCATGACATGCAGGGATGGAAGACCGATCAATACCTGAAGCGGCAAAGGGAAGCCAGCGCAGTTGACGCTAGACAATACACCATGCAGCAGTCAGCCGCCGCAGCGTGTTGGCACAGCCTTATCACTTAGGCAACTTCACCGAAGCAAGTAAGATTCCTTTGTATGCATTGCTACGCCACTAAGCGAACTTCGGACTGACTTGCCGCTATTTACCCTGACAGGATACCTTGAAAAGAACAATAAATCAACCACAGCAACACCGGTCAATGCCAACGCCACCCCCTTCGCTTCCACGTAAGCTTAGTTAAGACACTACGATGTCATTCTTGACCATAATCTCTCCGGCCCTAGGTGCACTCCCTCGCATCGACTGTGGAGCTATAATGGACGGCTCCACCCAATTAAGCGGGATTATATCATTGTTGCTATCTGCAGGATGCGGGAAGTCGCTGCGGCGGACGCCTCCCCCTAAGCTTGAACCCCGCTCAGGGCGCTTCTGGTAGATTAACTTGCGGGTGGAGGAACGATAGGAATCTTGAGGCGTGCTGGTACTGCCACCGCCGAGAGACTGGAATTGGCGGGCGCAGAGATGACGGATGAGGAGAAAGATACTGGGCAGACAGACACTAATGACCGAAATGGGGATTTCGGATCCCAGCCAATAGACGGGAGTAATGATGTTAACTGTTTAGTATGTTATTATCATCATTATTAACATTAATATTAATAATAATGTCTTTCTTGATTTGCTTCTTCAAATTGAGGGTGCGAAATAGTCTGAAAGGGAAAGGGGAGGGAAGGGAAGGGGGCGAGTGCAGGTGGAATGAGGCTTACAGGTAGGATCGGTTTGAAGTCCGTCGCCGGATTGAACGATCGAGACAAGTCGACCAATAGAGACAACCACCACTCTAGACAACATAAGCAAGCCGAACGATTAATATGGCGGCTTCTATTAATAAAATCGGAGAAAGGGGTGGGTAACAATAATAATACTCACAAATAACCGAGCACAATCACACCGATGGCCAGCATCTTTCGGGTGGGATTCATCTTTAGCCGCAGGACCATAGGCACCGGAAGGACCAGGATGAAGACATCAATAATCAAACTGGGAATGCCACTGCCCATCCACAGAATGCGGGAATTATCACATCGACCGGGCAGGGTGGGATCCCAGACCTTCTGGATTGGCGTGCATTCGAAGATGACGGAGAGGAGAATGCCCACTAGCCAGAGGGCGTTCAATGCATGCACCACATAGATGCAATATCGAAAGCGGGTGTTAGCCTGGCTGAAGAGCCGCGAGTAGAAGAACAAGGCCGAGGCTTTGGCCACCGAAGTGCCCGTGTCAAACACGAAATACTCCGCCCAGAGAAGTTTCAGGAAGATTGTCAAATGCTCCGCTGACACCACCTCCACATGCCGCCCCATGCCAATGTCGCACATCTTGAGTCCCATGGCACACACGGCAATATTGATCATCTGTTGACACTTTGTGAGAAAATAAAAAAAAAAAAATAAAATAAAGAATGAAAAAGAAACCATCGAGAAAAATCCCCGCCGTTCGCCAGACCCGATCGGCTGGAAAAGCCAGAAGAGCAGCCCAGTCATCCCACCATAGGCGTGGAAATGAGCCCTTCGTGGGCAATTTCGTTCGCGACCAGAACCGCAGAGCAACGGCAATACTTGGTAAAATGGCCATAATAATTAGCAGAACGCGCATGCGTGGGCCTCGGTCCTCTTGCAAATTGACTTCCGTTGTGCCTGACATGATTCCTTCAACGATACTGATAGTAATGGTAAAGGTGGCAGTGAAGACAGCGCTATGACGGTACGAAAGGGAGACTGATAGTATCTTGGCCGATGGTAATGGTAATGGTAATGATGATGGTGATGGTGATGGTGGTGGTCTAAATAGAGAACAACTTATCTCAGACGTCGATCGGCCATGCTAGGATGGAGCTGAGGCCCATGCTGACCCTTACTGATGTACAACAACCATCAATGTCACCAAAACATCCATCCCAAAGTCGTAACTACAGTCCATCGAGCTTACCCAGCCCGCCCGCCCACCTCCCTTGAGGACATGCATTAGTGCTTACTCTTGGGGGCCAACGCATGGATGGCCTGAGGGGCACGGCGGGAATTTCTATTAATTTTTGTCATTTATGAGGAGGGAGGGAAAATGCGTTAGATGGCATGAAGGGAGGGTGGGGGCAGAATGTCTGCGCCTAATATGGATCCTTCTGGATCGAAGACCGGGAGGATGAATAGGGACGGTGGTAGGTTAGCCCTGCAAATAGTAGTATGTTTCAAGACTAGTCTGAATTCTCTGTCAGCTGCAGGTGTATTATTATACAGTCCCTCAACGCGTGCTTCCCACTGCGCCCAGCATGCGTCGAATAGCGTTGACGCTCTCCACCAACACCTCTTGGTCTCGAGCCCCAGGTACCTCATGCCCCAATTCATGAACACACTCCCACCGGACTGCCGCATTGCAGCAGGTCCAAAGGGCCTTAGCATGGCCGGGGTCAATCGGGTCATTAGCCGCCATGATATGCACTGTCGGAATTCTGATTTGCCGTTCCTTGCAGTCCCAACCACCACTGTCATCATCATTCTCCACCTTCTCCTCATCTTCCTTCTGCAGGCCTTCCTTTCCCGCCCCCATCACATTGCATAAGGAACGCTCGTCTGTCATTGGCAAACGACCACATATCAAGATGGCGCAGCGGAAGGGCAGTGCCTGTGCGTGTTCGTCTCCGAGCAGCAAAGCACTGGCCAGGGAGGCGCCTTGCGAAAACGCGATCACTCCATCAAACGGTCCTTCGGTTTCCACGTAGGCCTGCAAATGCGCCTTGGCGGTGGTAAATGACGGCTGGCTACCAGGGATGTAGTAGGCATAGTACTCATCCCCGCTTGTTGCGAACCGTTCGATTGCTATTTTGGATACTGATTAGTATGCACCAGCACGCCCTTCGCATAACCGAGCCTTAATGCCCGTCTTACTGGAGCATGAAAGTCGGGTAAATACAACGCACCTGGGGCTTGAGGCTGCGGGATATGGCCCTCGACGAATTCGTACGTATGATTACCACCAAGTTCATATCGTAGTGCCGCTAGTCAACCCACACCCCGAGGGCGGTGCGAAGTTAGTCCAGATCAAGCCAAACCATTGAGTGGACCTTCAGAAAGGGAGAGGGTGAAATGGGCTGAGTAGAGGGCTGGTTCTTTGGCTCCTACCAGTTTGAGCTTCGAAGATCTGTACGTTCAGTTGCTTGAGTTAGTAGTCATGATGGATTGCGAAGATATTGTGATTTAGCAACTGACCTTGCTGTTAGTGCCAGCTCCGTGAAGGCACAAGAAGCGCATAGTCAATAAGGTGAGCGATGAAGTCTAGAATGGTGAATTAATTGAGATGATGCAGATATTTGTTCGGAGGTTTGGAGTAGGATTCTGCTGGGCTCTTCCAGGGTTATTTGCACGAATTATATACTGCTTTGGAGGGATGGCCTGGAAGGGCTGATGACTAGTCAATATTTGGAAAACCCGAGTGTCTTACGACATCTTCCTACTTTGCTTCGCTTATGGACAGAGGCTCAGACTGCCTAGGAAGGCTGAGGTATAAAGGCAGCTCACTCTCTTGTCCTCCCTCCGGAATTGTTCAAGCCCATCTCAATGACTGAGATGCTTTCCCTATCTCTTAGTATTGCACGTTGTACCAATGTTCTTCGAAAGACACCCAACGCCAAGTACGTCCAGCGAGGGCGCTTACCACCTCGATGAGGATCGTGAGTTTGCGGAGCCCATTGCCGTATGTGGTATTGGGCTCAAGCTTCCTCAGGACGCCGTTTCGGAGGATGGCTTCTGGAAGATGCTCATGGAACGCCGCAGTGCACGCACTGAGTTCCCCAAGGATCGAATGAATATCAACGCCTTCTACCATCCTACGCGACGTAATGAGCTGGGCACGCGTGGCGCACATTTCCTGCAAGAAGACCTGAGTCGCTTCGATGCTGACTTTTTTTCAATTACCCCATCTGAGGCAGCGGCCATGGATCCCATGCAGCGATTGCTCCTCGAGACCACAGTGGAGGCTCTGGACACGGCTGGGATTCGGATAGAAGACCTGCAGGGATCCCGGACATCAGTCCATACCGGCTGCTTCTCCAATGACTATCTCCATCAATTGCTCAAAGACCCTCAACAACTACCGCCCTACGCAGCTGTCGGCGCCTCTCCGTCCATGCTGGCCAATCGAATCAGTTGGTTCTTCAATCTGCGTGGACCGTCCTTTAATATAGATTCGGCTTGCTCCAGTAGTGCTCTGGCTATTGACTGTGCTTGCCGCCTCCTTCTCAGTGGCCAAACTGATATGGGTCTTGCCGCCGGGTGCAACCTGCTCCTCGACCCGGACTACAGCATCATTCTCAGCAATAACCACATGCTGTCGCCCGATGGCCGCTCCTACACCTTCGACTCTCGTGCCAACGGCTACTCACGTGGTGAAGGCGTTGCTGTTATTGTGCTCAAACGCCTCTCTGATGCCCTTCGCAACAATGATACCATTCGCGCTGTCATACGTGCCACGGCCAGCAATCAAGACGGCCGCACTCCCGGCATCACACAGCCTGCAAGTGAGGCCCAATCTCAGCTCATTCGAGAGACCTATGCCCAAGCGGGACTTTCTCTACATCATACTCGGTTTTTCGAGGCCCATGGCACCGGCACGCCGATTGGCGATCCAGCCGAGGTATCCGCTATTGCTGACTGCTTTCGCAACCACCGCACGGCAGATAGTCCGCTATACCTGGGTGCGGTTAAAACCAATATCGGACACCTGGAAGGTGCAAGTGGGATAGCCGGTGTTATCAAGGCTATTCTGGCCGTGGAGCGTGGCATCATCCCGCCCAACACGAACTTCGAGCGACTGCATCCACAATTGGAACCCCATGATTCTTGTTTGGCTGTACCCCCGGCGCAGGGCATTATATGGCCTCCAGCTGAGATCCGTCGCGCCTCAATAAACTCCTTTGGGTTTGGAGGCAGTAATTGCCACATTGTCATCGATGATGCAGCAAGCTATCTCCGACGACGCCAGCTACAGGGGAATCATCGAACTGTGCCGGACGATGATCGTAGCCTCGAGCAGTTCATGCGTCGGCCGCGACACATGCGATGTAATGGGGAGTTGTTACCGCAACAAGAGGGAATGGCTGAAATCCCACGATTACTTGTCTGGTCTGCGGCGAGTGAGAGATCTCTCAAGTCGCTTGTGAGCCGCTGGGCGGAAACTGTCTCTGGCGGAGAGTATCAACACGCGCCGTCTTGGACAGCACATGCCGCCTACACGCTTGACTCACGCCGTAGCGTCTTCCCTTGGAAAACTTATGCAGTGGCATCCTCATCCACCGACTGGGAGCAGCTGAACGAGCGTGCCTCGGCACCGAAGCTCACTGGCCCGACGCCCCCTCGGTTGGCGTTTATCTTCACCGGCCAGGGAGCACAATGGTATGCAATGGGTCGGGAATTGCTGCATTATCCTGCATTTTCCCGTGTCCTAAGGGAGGCCGATACTCTGTTTCGCCAGCTAGGTTGTCCTTGGTCCGCAAGAGGTGAGTCAGAGGCAGACCTAATAAGTGTACAGCCCTCGTTGCGTGCTCATAGCTGACTCTTGTACTTGGTACTTCAGAGGAGTTCTTGAAAAGCGAATCTGCATCTCAGATTAATGAGCCACATATCTCCCAAGCCCTGACGGCTACGTTGCAGATAGCTTTGGTGGATCTTCTGGACTCCTTTCAGGTGCGGCCTTTGGCCGTCGTGGGCCATTCGATGGGTGAAATTGCTGCGGCGTAGGAAAGAGCCTTCTGGTTTGTTCTTCAGGTTGCTAACTTCCCTTAGGTACTGTGCGGGTTTCATATCTCGTAGCTCAGCTTTGCGCATCGCATACTACCGTGGCTACTTCGTGGCTTCTATGATCGAGCAAGACCCCAACAAAGGCGCCATGTTGGCGGTTGGACTATCTGCGACGCAAGCCCAGTCATATATAGCCCAGTTACCCGAACCTGAGAAAGTAGTCGTCGCGTGCATTAACAGTCCTTCAAACACGACTATCTCCGGCGAGGAAAGCCATATCAAGTATCTGGACCAGATGCTAAAAGATGCAGGCATCTTTTCGCGTCGCCTCAAAGTGGCCGCAGCATATCACTCCCCTCAAATACAACAGATTGCTGACGACTGCCGGCGTCACTTCGCTAACCTCGAAGAGGGTCATCACTATCATACCGCACACTCGACGATTCCCATGATATCTACCGTAACTGGAGAGCCCCTAGACGGTGAGCGCGCCCGCAATGCCAGCTACTGGGTGGACAATTTGATATCGCCTGTGTTGTTTGCTCCGGCCATTCAACGTCTGTGTCGTGATTCTCCACATTGCCTCCGGAAGAAGATCGACAGAAGCCATCGGAAAGCCATAGTGGTCGATCATCTGATCGAAGTTGGCCCTCACTCCGCGTTGCGATTGCCCATCTTCGAAACACTGGCCGCGCTAAATGACAGTCAAAAAGACCGTTGCACCTACCTATCGACGCTCGTGCGGGGCCAGCCAGCATCCAACACCCTGCTGTCTGCTCTTGGTCAGCTCCACTGCGCGGGGACTTCGCTTGATTTGCGCGCAGTTAACGACCCAGGTCGCTGCCATGAAGTCCTCATAGACGCACCTACTTACCCCTTCGATCATTCCGAGTCCTACTGGGCAGAGAGCCCACTCAGCCAGAACTATCGGCTGCGGTCGCATGGCCGCTTAGCGTTGTTGGGAAGCCCGGTTCCGACATGGAACCCTCTGGCCCCCGAATGGCGGAACTGTGTGCAAGCTGCAGACATGCCATGGATCCGGGACCATCGAATCAATAGTCGTGTCATCTATCCGGCTGCTGCTATGATGGTCATGGCCTTGCAAGCCACCCGTCAAATGGTAGAAACCTCTGGTCGTGCCATTGAAGCCTACGTTCTGCGCTCTGTGCGTTTCCATCGGCCCATTGCGCTAGAAGGAGGATCTGAGCAGACGGGCAGCAGTGGCTCGGATGTGCTCGAGACTCGACTCTGCTTGAACAATGCCTCACTGCCTCCTGAAGCGGATGGTGTATCGCGGTGGAACTTTGTCGTGTACTCGATGACTAAAGAAAATTCCTGGCAAACGAACTGCCAAGGGGTAGTCGAGGTACACCTAAGTCAGCAGAAAGACCAGAAAGGAGAGGAAGGAGAGGAGGCAGAGGTGAAGCACTATCAAAGCCAATGGGACAAGCGAGTCACGGAGTGCACCATTCAAGTCCCAGCCTCAAAGTTCTACGACCACCTCAAAAAGCACGGCTTCCACTACGGCCCCTCAACGCAAGGCATGAAGTCCATCCAGACTGATGGAGTTGGCACCGCTCTGGCGTCACTCAATCTAGCACAACCATGTCTATCATCTCCAGAGATGGACGAGTACCCCATCCACCCGGCATCACTCGATGCATTCCTGCAACTTAGTTTGGTGGCTCAGAACCGAGGAACTATGAAGGGCATGCCAACGCAGGTGATCTCGGCTATTGATCGGTTATGGATCACTGGGAAGGGATGGGCCAATTTGGTTGCCAGAGGCCAGGACTGCGTCTCTGCAGCCATGCAGATTGAGGTTGATGGTCCCCGAAACAAGTCCTATAATGGATATGTTCTATCCCAAAAAGCGGACGGCCAAAGCCCGCAACTAATTCTAGATCGACTCGAGACGACGGCAGTGTCTTCCATAGACAGCGAGGTCATCGACAATTCCCACAGTGCAGTTTCCCCGTCTAACGACCAAAAGGATGATGGCAAGTCATGGTACACAGTGAAGACGGACTTGGCGATGTCAGCTAGCACACCAGGAAACATATTACAGTACCTGGAAGACCAATGCGGCGTTGACCCCCCTGGTCCGAGAGAATTCTTCCGCAATGTGCGCCAATACCTGACACTTCAAATGCAGAAGATTTGCGACGCTCTGAACACATCCAAAATCCCTGCCAAACCCCATCTACAGCGATACGTCACCTGGATGAAATGGCAATTAGCCCAACAGGGTCAGTTGACGGCAAGGGGACTCATGAACGCAGAGGAAGAGGCGAATTTGCACCGCCAGATTGCGGCACAAGGCCGTCTGGGAAACTTCTACCTGACCGTGGCCGACCACGCCCTTGGGGTCCTTCATGGAGAAGTTGATGTTGTACAGCTGCTATTTGAGAGCAACCTAGTTAATGACTTCTATCAGGCCTATGAGTCCTCTGTCTCGATCTATTTGAAAAAGGTCGAACGCTATGTCGCCACAATGGCTTTCAATCGCCCTGACATGGATATCCTGGAGGTCGGCGCCGGCACGGGCTCCTTCACTGACAATGTGCTAAATGGGATCTGCTTATCGGGGACAAGCTTGAGATCTTACCAATACACCGATATCTCCCCAGCTTTTTTTGACAGGGCCCAGCAGCGACTTGCATCCCATCCTCATGGCCGCCGCATTGCGTTCCAAATTCTGGATGCGGAACAGGATCCCCTTGAGCAGGGTTTCACGGAGAACACGTACGATCTTATCGTGGCCTCCAATGCGCTACATGTGACCAGAAACCTGGAAAAAACCTTGAAAGCCCTCCGCCGTCTGCTTCGACCAGGAGGTCAGCTCATACTGCACGAGGTGACCCGTCCAGATAACATTGAAGTAGGATTTTCGTTTGGCTTGCTGCCGGGCTGGTGGCCGGATGCGACAGATGATCGTCCGATGAGCCCGGTCGTCAGCGAAGCTAGATGGGACCTGATCATGCGGGCTAGTGGATTTGTCGGCGCCGAAATAGTCCTACGTGACTATGCAGACGAAGAAAGCCAATTGATGAGCGTGATAGTTGCCACTGCTGGAGAGACCCAGGAGCAGACTGCAACTGTGTCTTCGTCTCCCTCTTCTTCATCCCACGTTGACATTGTATTGGTCGTTGAGCCTTCATCCCCGCTGCAGATCAACTTGGCCAACCGCTTGATGGACTTTCTCATTGCAGAGGAATCGGCGTACCGACCCCGTATCGTGATGTACCCGGAGGAAATCTCCCCAGGATCGGTGATTATTAGTCTACTTGACCAGGACAACACAACGTCGATCTTGGGACGACTTCACGGCGAAGAAAGCTTTGAGCGTCTGAAGGCCCTGCTCCTCGGGGCACGAAAAGTACTTTGGTTGTCGAGTGATGATGAGCGCCATCCGAGTTTCGGCATGATAGATGGCTTTGCTCAGGTGTTTCGCATTGAGAATCCACAGATCCCCTTGCAGATCTTACACATGGATGCAGCCTCAATGGCGTCGTTTGAAGGCCTAAATTCTTTAGAGGCGACGCTGAAAGTCGCCCTGAATCAGCTGATGATGACGAGGTCATCCTCCAATTGCCAGGATGACTACAGTATCAAAACTAACCAGGTATATATTCGTCGCATTCAGGAAGACCTTCCATTGAAGAGTGATATCAAAGAAATTCTGGACGGCACCCAGGCAACATCTGAGCGCCTCGGGGATATTCGTCCGTTTGCGGTACGTTGGCCACAGGAGCTTGCCTCTGGTGGCAATGCTGAGATATCATGTTCTTTTCAAATTGATGCGGAGCATACAAAACCATCTCAGGCTCTTGGGCCGGACGAGGTGGAAATCGCAGTTCATGCTGTGCGACTTGATGATCAGCTTGGCCGAATCCGACAATGCGCGGGACGCATTGTCCAGGTTGGTCGCAATAGTCCGTTCTTGGTCGGTGACAGGGTCTGCGGTGTCTACTATAGCAGCAGTACCAGCAATGCCGATGACGACGACACTCTGACCTCCACTGTTCGCACGCACAAATCTCTGGTGGCTCGTATTGACAGCTCTTCGAGCTTTAATGAGGCAGCTGTTCTACCTCAAAGATATCTCGTCGCAGAGTACATTGTCGGCCTGATGTCGTCGTTTGCCGAGAGTTCTCCAGCAATTGTTATTCATGGAGCCCACACGGGCATTGCCAGAGTGGTGGTAGATCTGATGGCTGGCCGATACTCTAGGCTTTTGCTTACTGTTCCATCTGACTCAAACTGCGAGACAGATGAAATTTGGGAACAGGCAAAGAATGACGAATCCGTGTCTGTGTTCACGTATTCCTCGTTTCTAAGGAAACTTCGCTTTTCTGGCTCAGAAGATGGTGCAGATATCGTGCTGGACTTTGTCGACTCGGATCTCTTAGATCTAGCCAACCAGGTAGCACCCTTTGGAGTAGTCATTCGTGTTATCGACGGCGATTCTCGCTTTGGATTATCTAATCCTCAGAAGCTGTGCATACCAGCCAACATGTCCTTGCATACTGTCGACGTGGCCCAGCTCTTGCAGCGTCAACGTCCGCGGCTGCGGATGCCATCAGCCGTGGTGGCGCCGACAGCAATCCGAACGGCAAAGACTACTTCTGACTCTGTCAAACTGTCCACTATGCTGAACCAGTCTTCAAGAAGTACGAGAAGAAAGCAGATTACAATCGAGTTCGATGATGACGATGTTGTTTCGGTAAGACTTGCCCCTATAATGCTTCATTCACTTGCTGTCAAGTGCGGAGACTAATTCGTGATATCCTAGATCCGCAAACCTCGCCAGCCTGCTTATTCATTTGATCCAAATGCAACATACCTCCTTGCTGGGGGTTTGGGAGACCTGGGCCGATGCGTAGCCCAATGGATGGTGCGACGCGGTGCGCGATATTTGATTCTTCTATCACGCTCCGGGCCGCGAAATGAAGCACCCCGAAGGATGATTGAAGAACTAGAAGCCAAAGGCACCACAGTCTATGCACCAGCCTGCGACATCATAGATATGGCAGCACTACAGCGAGTACTGGATGGGTGCAGACAGACGATGCCCCCAATCAAGGGATGCATCCAGATGACAGGAGTGTTGCGAGATGTGATGTACGACCGCATGACCTTCACGGACTGGCAATCTTCCGTCCAACCCAAAGCTTCCGGGTCCTGGAACTTGCACACCCTATTGCCTCGCGGTCTCGACTTCTTCATCCTCGCTGCCTCTCTGACCGGACTGATGGGCCAGGCTACCCAGATCAACTACGCAGCCGGTAACGCCTACCAGGACGCGCTGGCACGTTACCGTCTCTCGCAGGGCGAGCGAGCAGTATCTCTAGACCTAGGTGTACTGGAGACCAAAGGACTCCTCACGGACGCTTCAGGACTCTTCGATCGATTCCTCTCCACTAACTTCCACTACTTGCTCCGGGAACCCGATATTCTGGCCATGTTCGAGCATTTCTGCAATCCCACTCTTCCCATTGAGGAACTGCCCGCTCAGGTGGCCACGGGGTTCATGCGTCCCTCGCTGCACAAGCAGCTGAACATGCAACTCCCCGTTACATTTGATCAGCCATTCTGGAAGCAGATTTTTGTTTCTACGAACGCAGACGATGACATCGACAAGCAACAACCTCGCGATAGCAACTCCAATAACCAATCGGAGAATCACCTCGACCTACACAGCGCGCTATCCGCTGTAGCCAACGGCACAAATGATACTGTCAAGTCCACCACAACAGAGGTCCTGACCACCATCGCCATGGAGGCCCTGGCAGAGCGGTTCTGTCAGATGGTTCTGATGCCTCGGGCGAAGTTGAATGTGGAAGAGCCATTCCATCGTGCCGGAGCTGACTCCTTAACGGCGGTAGACTTGCGGAACTGGGTTCTGAAAGAGGCCGGGGTCGATTTGCCTGTCTTCGATATCTTGGGAGAACTACCGGTTTCTGCGTTGGGGAGGATGGTTGCGCGAGAATGGGCAGTGGTTCATATAAAGTGAGAGTTTCATGATGAGGTGAATACATGTTGTAAAGAGTGTTCTATCTTTGGCAACGCCAGTCCATGTTCTTCTTCCCTTTCTCTGTCTCAAACCAGGTACATCCAAGGTCCTTCTCAAAAATCGCAAACAAGCCTTCAAAAAAAGAAACAGCCCTGCAATTCAAGACAACAACTAACACAGATCAAAAACCACACAGAAAACCCCGCAACCCCCACTATCAACACACAAACTCTCTACTCATCTCCTGTCCCTCCCTCCTCACCAGCCCCATCCCCATCCGGAACCTCCTCGTTTGCCAAATTCGACAGCAAGCAAACATACATGTACCCGCCTACGACATGAGCCACCTCCGCCACCTTCTCCCTGCCCAGGGCAGCCACTGCTGTGTCGAAATCCTCCGTGGAGATAGGACCCCTCGACCGCGCCATCGCCAAGGCTGCCATGTAGACAGCCTGCTCAGCATCCGATAACCCGGCAGGAGGCTGCTGGTGTTGTCCCTGCAGCGCCTGCGCGATCTGCTCCTGGGAGAATCCTGCAGCGCGGGCACTGTGTGAATGGGCGTATTGGACAAAGGGCGCCTTGTGTTCAGCTAGGGTAGCGAGGATGGCGAGCTCCTTCTCGCGCGCTGTAACGTGGGGTTGGGACCCGATGGAGTAGGCGAAGGAGAACCAGGGCTTGATGATGGAGGGGGTGTAGCTGGTTTTGGGTTGTGGTTAGCTAGTTGGATGGGATTATGATTGAGAAAGGTCAAAAGAGAGGATTTGTACGTACTACAGAGGGGAGTATGGGCCCAGAATGACGCCTGAGGGACCCTGCCATTGCACTTCGGGAGGCAGATGAGAGAAGATGCGGCGAGCACTGGGCTCGACCAGGCTCTGCTCGGCCGTCTGTTGATCTGGAGGAATGACAGGGAAGCGAGACATTGTCGTAGGATCTTGGGGAGAAATATGAAAGTCGACGTAGAAAAACTACTAAAAAGGGTTGGGGCAAATAGAGACGATGAAGACCTCAATCACAGCAGGCGTCCTGAGCCCTCTTTATATAGCATGGACGGACCATCAGCCCCCAACTAGGGTTACTGGTAGTAGTACTACTTGAATTGGCTGATTGGCTGCAACTCACTGATGCAAGTCTGTTAGTGCTGCCATAATATGCAAGTCGACATGGATAGATGGAGGTTGAGGAGGGGGCGAAGCAGTAGTAGTATGATCCCCTCGCCAGTAGTATAAGAACCCTAACCCCCCCCTTCTCACTTTCTCTTCCTCCTCCATCTTCTTCTATTCCCATCTCCCCCTCCCTCCTACCAGCAGATATACTTAGCTCTTCCTATCATACCTACCATGGCGTCTCCATCCCCTTTGAAGATAATCATCGTAAACAACAACTTCCCTTCTCCCTTAACATATCTACTACAACTAACCAATCACCCAGGTCGGCGGCTCCCTCTCAGCTCTAATGCAAGCCATCACCCTCCACCAACAAGGCCACACCATCCAAATCCTCGAAAAAAGTCCCACTCCCACCCCGCCTTCCCACATGGCCGGCGTAAGCATAGGTCCCGACGTCCTAGCTTTCCTCTCGCGCTACGACCGCGTCTCCCACATTCCGCTTGGAATCCCAGCCACTCAGCTCCAAACCGTAGACCACGCAGGCCAACCGCAGCCCTTCCTTCGCATCCAGCGCACTATGACCTCCTGGGATGCATTGTATTTCCGCCTTCGTGCCAACTACGACGGTCTAGCCAGCGACTACATCCATAACCCTCCAGACCCCCTCCCTACCTTCCCAGATGAATCCCCAAGTGAGGCACGAGCTCGCGCGAGATACGACTATGGCCAGCGAGTCATCGAGATATCCGAAATTCTATCAACAGGAAAGCTAGCCATCGTTACAGAGAGTACCAGCACAAAAACCACAACAACACACACAGCAGATCTAGTCCTCGGCGCCGACGGCCCCCGCTCCATCGTCCGCCAACTCTTCCTACCCACATCCCCTCAATCTGCCACCATCAACAATGAAAATACCAACCACCGCAAATACGCCGGCTACCTCGCCTGGCGGGGCATCATCCACGAAAGCCAAGTGCCACCCACAACCCTCTCCCTCTTCTCATCCAACATGACCTACAACATCCGGAAACACCCCACTCACGGCTCCCACATCATCGTCTACCACATCCCCGGACCCAACGGCTCCATCGTCCCCGGAACCCGCTACCTCAATCTCTGCTGGTACCAGAACGTAGCCGCAGAGGACCTCCCCACACTCATGACCGACATCCACGGCGTGCGCCATCACACCACCGTGCCACGGGGCCTAGTGCCAGCGCGAATCTGGGACTCGCAACGGGCGCTAGCGAAAAACGTGTTGGATTTCCCAGAGCCGTATATGGAACTTCTGAGGATGATTGACGCGCCGTTTCTCCATCTGATTACGGATTACCCGCCGGCGGGGAAGACGTGGTTTTTGGATGGTAGGGTGAGGTTGGTGGGTGATGCGGCGGTGTTTTTGAGACCGCATATTGCGTTTAGTACGAATCAGGCGGCGATGCATGCGCGGTTGATGGGGGAGTTGGTGGGGAGGGACGGGGTGGGTGGTGGTGGTGGTGGTGGTGGTGGTGCTGCGGCGGAGGAAGAGTGGGAGTATAGGGTTGCTAGGGCGGGAGAGTTGCATTGGGCGAGGAGTGTTTGGTTTGGTGAGTATTTTCAGAATCCGTCGCTGTTGAGTGCGATTTGGCATGATGCGGTTAGGTATTGGTTGCTGGCGGCGGGGTATTGGGTTAAGTATTGGTGTGGGTGGGTGGATCGGCCGGTTGTTTGATATTGTATTGTGCTTTCTAGCTGTAGGTATTCAAAGGATGAGGGTGCTTTGGTTGTGTCGTTGGATAACTGCAGGCGGTGGAATTAGTCTAGTATACGGAGTATAACAGTTAGCAGCCTACATATCGTGCCAATACGTACTTTGGGAACACCACTGCTACAGCCCTACTTCGAATCATTACCCAGATTATCACGGTAGAGATTCATTGCGTCGTATTCATGCTAGTCTTGCTGAAATGGCAACACAGGGCCGGTGTTAACCTCCCCCAGCTGTGTTCTATAGTCATTCATGGAACATAATAAAAGATTTCGCCCCAGCACCTCTTCACTCTTACTCGCTGCTTATTTCACCGGGAACTTAATGCCCGAGGATGTAACCTGCTGCTCGTTGTACGTCATGGCTGGAGCAAAAGGCTGGACCCATTCTTTGATAACGGTCAGGAATGTGTCACGGACAGCCTCGACGGCTTGGTCTTGCGATGCTCCGCTGCTTTCAATATAGACTAGAATCAAGATTAGCATTGCGCAATGGCTCTGTATGATTTTCGACGTACTTTTGACTTTGGGTTCTGTGCCCGATGCACGAATGGTGAATCTGACTTCCCGATCCAGCCATAGTGTCAGCATCTGGGTGTTCTTATCAACCGGAAGTGTGGGCGTGTGGTCCTCGGTTCCCGAGTCGTAACCCTCCGTCAGGTCTCGCCATCGCTGGATGTTGAAGGAACCAAAGGACTTTCCGGCGCCGAACTGTCCAGATCTGATCTTTCGGAATAGGTCCATGGTGAGCTCTGGGTCCGTCGATCGGACGTAGGTGTTGAGAGTCTCGTGGTGCCCGTGTTCCTTGAAGAGTTGCTGAAGCTTCGTATATGGGGTGAGTCCTTGAGCATTCCATTTGGCCTGGGCTAGCAAGAACACCATAGCGGCGGAAATACCGTCCTTGTCGTAGCACACCTCCGGAAACATGTATCCGAGCGCTTCTTCAAAGGCGAATGGAACATAGTAGCCGAGTTCTTCGAGTCTTCGCGCGATGTTGCCCATCCACTTGAAACCGGTCAATGCCTCCTCGTAATGCATCCCCTTTGCCTTTGCCATTTTCTCCAACATGCACGTCGAGACGGTCGAGTTCAGCACGGCGATTCGTGTGTCGCTGTCGATAGTCTCCAAGGAATCAAACAAGTGCGATGCAAGCAGTACTCCCAAATGGTTTCCGGTGAAAGTGAACCACGATCCACTGCAGTTGGTTAGTGGGGTCCTTTGTTGAAAGGCAGCGGATACATACTTGACCTTCTCAGCAGCCGCAAAGCGGTCTGCATCCGGATCATGTGCGATAATCAGTTCTCTGCCCTCCTGATCCGCGGTGCGCATTGCGAGATCCAAAGCTCCAACCTCTTCGGGATTGGGAAAAGCTACCGTGGGAAAGTCGGGGTTCGGTTCTTCTTGTTCTGGGACGACAGTGAAATCTTTGATACCAACGGAACGGCACAAGCTGGGGAATACCAGGCCTCCTACACCATGCAGAGGAGTGTACACAAATGGCTGTGGCTGCTTCCATTCCCGCACTGTGTATGTCTGCAAAAGGGTGAGCCCGTGTTACCAAAGCACAATGCATCTAGACTCACAGCGTATTGCCATACTGCTGTGTTGTAGTGTGGCAGGAGATTGTCGTACGCCTTGGGGCGCAAATATTCACCGGGCTGCAAGTCTTTCCAAGCGTTGGGCCAGGGTGTCAGATTCTTCTCGATAGATCGAGCTATCTCCACATCCATGGGGGTATTGATCTGGGCGCCATTTTTGAAATAGCTGGAGCATGTTAGTGATAATCAAAACAGGCTGGATGAGCGCAACCAGACACTTTGTAACCTGTTCGCCACGTCCGTCAGTGATACGGTCCGGCTGTCGAGGAGCAAGCCATGGCAACCTACCATTATCTTGTGCTGGATTCTAGGGCAGGATTAGCCACATGATCTTTAAATTGACAGACAGGGGTGTCTTACATGGCTTGCCGTAACCATGATGCCTGCAGCAGCATGCAGTTGGGTTACACCGAAAGGCACCGTCGGCGTAACAGAAGGCTCGGAGTAGAACCAGACCGGGATCCTCTGTGCGATGAAAGCATTTGCGGCCAGAGCGGCGAACTTGGCGGAATTGTAGCGAGCATCATGGCCAATGACGACGCCATAGGAGGCAATATCACCATGGTGCTTCTTCAAGTACATCGCCAGACCCTGCGATGCCTGAATAACAGTCAAAGGATTCATGCAAGAGAAGCCCGCTGCCATGCGACCCCGGAGACCAGCGGTGCCAAATTGGATTCCTGCAGTTTATGCGGATTAGACATGACAGGCAGGGGAGCGTAAAGAGCCTAAATTGGGTACGAGAAGATCAGATGAAGCATGTCTCGAGCCCACACGTACTCTTTTGCAGGCGCTGCTGCAACTCCGCCAGCTCTCCTGCATCGCGCAACCGCTCAATTTCCCCGCGAGTAGAGGCATCCTAATAGGGTTGGGCATTAGCAGTGAGACTTCGGAAGTTGAAGGTTGATGAGGAAAGCGCATGAGTAAGAGCATTGAGCAACAGCAATACCTCCACTACCACCATTACTATGGGGAGGAGTTAAAGCCGAGCTGGGCGGATCGGAATCTGACAAATGTAGGGGACTTACTTGGTCCCACTCAAGCCATTTTTGGATCAGCGGAGAGAGGGAATCCTGTCAGAAAGGACCAGGCGGACCGAGTCAGAACTTCCACACTACTTTTCTGCCCCTATCGATTTAGATAGAGGCGTGGTGTAGCCGCGCACACCGGGAGTTGACTATACCTCTCCTGGGTTGGCGGCCATGTTGGATCATACGACGCTGACAACCGAACTGGGGGAAGAAGACGGACGGTGGAGGGGGGGGGGCGGAGGGACTCGCGGATCAGAGCTTGGGTTTTGGGGGGGTAAAGGAGGAGAAGGGAAGGAGAGGAGGAGTCTGGGGAAGAGAAATGCAGAAGAGGCGGTGGGAAGGGAATTAAAGGAGGGGAAGAAATAAACTAAGAACAAAATAAAGGGCAGAAAGCAAGCTGGAGATTGAAGCTAAGAAGTAATAATAGTAAGTCAGTGATGATGATGGTGGTGGTGATGATGATGATGGAACGGGGAATGAATGGGCGAGACGGAGACAGAAATGTGGGTGGAATGACACTCGCTGGATCGGGTGACGATCGCCGGCACGTTTCACCTTCGCGTCCCCGCTTTTTCTATTAGTAGTAGTTCCATCTTCATCCTGTCCTTCTACCTCCATCTGGTCTCTTTCTCTCGGTCTCTGGATTGTATCTTCTCATTCCACTACCCCCTCGAATCTTCCCCCCTACTAGGTCTTTGCACTATACGATGCCCCCTTGGACTGATCCTTCACCCTCTTTGTAATCACACCCCCTGTCCCCGATCCCTTGGTTGGAATTACACAGGTACCTGTTGCAACTGTACCATGGTCACCGCTCCTTCTACCTCCGCGGCCCGGAAGGACACCATTCTGTCCCGAAGGTATATCGAGGGCCTAATTTCTGAAGGCAAACATATTATCATCTTCGACGGTCGCGTACTCAGGGTCGATGCGTGGATTCCCTACCATCCTGGAGGAGACAAGTCCATCAGGCACATGGTTGGGAAAGATGCCACCGATGAGATCAACGCGTATGTAGCCCCCATGAACCCCGGGAGGCCCGGATGCGATCAGACCGTTGACTCCGACTCTTCTCTGCTACAGGTTACACTCCAAGGAAGCGCGCCAGCGAATGTTGTCCTTTCAGATCGGTCGCATCGAGGGCCCATGGGTGAACTTCCTGCCACCCATCCAGGGCGGAAAGTTTCGTCCGTATACCGAGGATTGTCTGTCCGATGAAGAGAGCTCTGGTCAGGAGAGTTCCGGTCAGGAAACGTCACAGCCGCCATCCCCGATCTTTGATGCCGTCGATAGCACGTCAGGTGCTCGCCAGCGGAAACCTGCGCCCGCAACCCCAGCCTCGGCCGCCAAAAGCGAAGAGTTCCAACCGAAACCCTTCTTTCTCGATGCGCGCACGCAGGAGGAACTCGTCTTCGATACGGCCAAATACCCCTCGCTAGGTTTGGACAATCAGGAGAAGATCAAGCAGAGGTATCGTGATCTGGACCGGCAGATCCTTGCGGAGGGGCTCTACGACTGTCGCTACTTCTCGTACTTTATCGAATGCTGCCGATATACGCTCTTCGCTGCCTTGTTCTACTATTTCCTCCAGATTGGATGGTATGCGACTTCAGGTTTCTTCCTTGGATGCTTTTGGCATCAGCTTGTGTTTACTGCCCATGATGCTGGCCATATGGGCATTACGCACAACTTCCACGTCGACACGGTGATTGGTATCATTATCGCCGACTATCTCGGAGGACTCAGCCTGGGGTGGTGGAAACGCAGCCACAATGTCCACCATATCGTGACGAACGCCCCCGAACACGACCCTGATATCGAACACATGCCATTCTTCGCCGTCTCCCATCGCTTCCTTACCAGCCTTCGCAGTACCTACTATGACCGCATCATGGAATTCGATGCTGCTGCAAACTTCCTTTTGCGCTTTCAGAACTACCTCTACTACCCCATCCTCCTGTTTGGACGTTTCAACCTGTATCGTCTGAGCTGGGAATACCTTTTCACGGGCCAAGCCCCGAAGAAAGGTCCCGCCTGGTGGCATCGGTGGTTTGAGATTGGCGGTCAGGTCTTTTTCTGGATCTGGTTTGGCTATGGAGTGATGTACCGCTCGATTCCGGACTGGAGCAGCCGGCTTGCCTTCCTTTTCGTCTCTCACATGGTTACCTCTCCGCTGCACGTGCAGATCACGCTTTCTCACTTCGCCATGTCCACCTCCGATATGGGAGTCAACGAGTCTTTCCCGCAACGAATGCTCCGCACCACCATGGATGTCGACTGCCCGACCTGGCTCGACTTCTTCCACGGTGGTCTTCAATTCCAGGCCATCCATCATCTCTACCCCCGCATTCCGCGGCACAATCTGCGTCGGACCCAGCGCCTGGTGCTCGACTTTTGCCGCGACACTGGCATCCCCTATACCATCTTCACCTTCTACGATGGTAACAAAGAGGTGATTGGCAAACTCGGCGACGTCGCAAAGCAGGTCCGCATTCTCGAGGAGTGCAGGAAATCCTGCGCGGAAAATGGTGTGTTCTCGGATCATCATTAAAGCCATTGAAGATTATCTATGCGAGTCAGCGACCAAGCTAGATGCATCCCTTCTGTCACTTTATCAAACATGTACTATTCCCAAATCCTTGTTGTAAATAGTCCCACTCTACGCTACGCTACGCCACCCCACCCCTACCCCACAGCACTATATAGTCTTTCTGGTGATGGTCCGGATATGACTGATGCCTTTTGACTGCCTCGCAGTGCTTAATGAGATAATGCCCCGGTCTGTGATTTATTGGTCTATAGAATGCATTATATATTACAAGAATATCAGAATAAGCTTGTACTTTTGTGCCTTATATTCCCAGTGTGTGTGGGAGTTATACTCGATCATGATTTATCCCATATATGCAATCACCATCAAGATATGCTATCATACCAACCGAAATAAATACCTACCACATGCCAAACCATATTAGGCTTATTACACCATCATTCTCTTCGTCCTAGTCACCCTTGTTGTGCTGTCGAGGACTATAACCTGACTACTTTTTCCCTCAACTACAATTCCGGTACTCTTCTATCCATACAACTAGATAAATATGGAGGAAACCTTAGACACGACGAATTTTAGTACAAATAGAACAATTTTATAATTCACTACTTAACAGCCATTTACAACAATACATCCACGTCCATTACCACCATGTTTCCATCTACGGCGTACAGTACGGACTATCTAGTTCCAACATAGTTTAAACAACCATCCAAACCGAGCCTCCCCAATCCCGCTGACTCACCGCCGCCCTCCTCTTCCAAACCAGTGATCTAACCACAACCAGCCACTAGCTCCCGAACCAGCTACTTAGCCGAGCGCCAAGCCCTCCACCCGCACAAGCAAGAAGAACGGATTAATAAAAATTGAACAAAAGAAAGTTGCACGATAATTGTTATTCCGCCCGGCAAACCATCCAGACTCTCTCCTCAACGGCCATCATCACCTTACCGAACCCCGATAGTTCAGGTCTTGATTGGCAGTCCAGCCTCCCTTGCGGTATGCCCTCCCCCTCCCTCACTCCTTTTCTCTCTTGTCTCTCGTCGACGACAACAACTAACTTCCAGGTCCAACAGCATCTCAAATCCCACCGGTCACCCCACCGTCTCAAAACTTCAATTCAAGATGTCTTTCCAGAAGCCTGAGAAGGATTTCGGCGAGGGCCCTGTACGTCTACCACCATCATGATACATATATAACATATCTTCAATGTCAATGCCTTTGGGACATGGGATATATATCAATCAATGCGACGACAAATCACTAACAACATCTCTTTTTTGATGGGAATATAGAAGGTCCACAAGATCCGTATCACCCTCACCTCTCGCAAGGTCGCTTCCCTCGAGAAGGTGTGCTCGGAGCTGATCGACCGTGCTCGCTCCAAGTCCCTCCAGGTCAAGGGTCCCGTCCGTCTTCCCACCAAGACCCTTCACATCTCCACCCGTAAGACCCCCAACGGTGAGGGTTCCAAGACCTGGGACAAGTACGAGATGCGCATCCACAAGCGTCTCATCGAGTGAGTGCCCCCTGTCCCAATATTTCTAGCTCATGATGAGTGTCCGAAGGGAATAAGGAAAACTAATCTGTGTGTAGCCTCCTCGCCCCCACCGAGACCGTCAAGCAGATCATCATCAACATCGAGGCTGGTGTTGAGGTTGAGGTCACCATTGCTGCTTAAACAAATCCCTACCTCTTCCTTCACTGGATACGGTTTGGGTTCGTGACAGGGGTGGCGCGGACGATGAGGTTATGTTTTGTGGTGCTGCTGCGGCCGTGCTAGGCATTCGTCGATACCCGCCAGTTCCTGGCTTGAAAATGAAAAAGTTCAAAAAGCAGTAAACTATTTTTCTTATCGGAATGAATGATTGTATGGATTGTAGTGTAGTGTAGTGTATTGGTATCAAAACTAGCAGTGACTTAACTGCTTCCGTTGTTCCGTGTGAGAATTTCCCGCCTGGACGCCCATTCCGTCCGTTAATAATGCTAATGATCTATATAATACAATGCCCAAGTAAACCATGTAAAAGAAAGTCCAAGAGCCTGGATTGCTAAAAGTCGAAGCTCACCCATTCTGTCTTCGGGGGCACGCTCGGAATCACTCCGTCCTTGAAGCATCCGTTTTGCACGAAGAACTCGTACTGCGCGGTGACCTCAGCTGTATACTCCTCGTCTTTGCCATGTGCGTCCCGTAAGCTGGCAGCATCAGGGGGTCCATCTGGAAAGAAGATGCGGACGTAGGTCTGACGATCCTGCGGATGTAGATAGCAGGGTTCGTTGTTGATGTACTTGACCGGTTGCCCCTTCCAGGCTGAGAGCCTCTTGGTCATAGGGTCGCGAATGGTCTGACCTGTCAGCGGTGGGATGGGGTGTAGCTCATTGGGGTTGTCTATCTTGATGATGGCAGGAGGGCCGGTGCCTGCGGTAGCTGTTGGCGTGGATGCAAGAGCGGGAGCAGGCGCTGATTGGCCTAACTGTCCAAATCCGCTAGCGGGCTGTCCAAATCCTGAAGGTGCAGCTGGTTGGCTTGGAGCCCCGAAGGGACTCGGAGCTGCGGCCGTGGAGGGTTGTCCAAACGGGTTTGAGGCCGGTTGTTGTTGTTGTGGTTGACCAAAAGGCGAAGCTGTCTGTGACGGTTGGCCGAAACCAGCAGGCTGTGTTGTCGAGGGTTGACCGAAGCCAGAAGACGCGACGGGGGTTTGACTCCCAACCTGTGCGAACGGTGATGCTTGTCCAGCGGACTGACCAAAGCCGCTTGGTTGCTGGCTAGGAGCTGATATCTGACTAAATGGGGAGGCCGCAGCAGGTGTCCCGAATGCCGATGTTCCGAGTGATGATGGCTGGCCGAACGAAGACTGGCCGGTAGAAGGCTGACCAAAGCTAGGCTGGCCAAAGGCTGGTTTACCGAATGCCGACTGCCCTCCTCCCAAGCCTGAGGGTTGTCCAAATGCAGACCCTTGACCTAAAGCACTAGGTTGTCCGAAGCCAGGTGCTTGCCCCAGGCCAGATGTTTGGCCCAAGGCCGAGGGCTGCCCGAAGGCTGACGGCTGACCGAACGCAGAGGGCTTGCCGAAGGGTTGACTGCCTAATCCTGAAGGCTGACCAAAAGCCGGTGCTGAGCTGGGAGCAGCGGGTTGCCCGAATGGTGAAGGTTGGCTAGGTTGCGAGGGCTGACCGAAAGCAGAAGGTGCTGGGGTGGAAGCAGGGCCGGTCTTGCCCTCAACGATATCGATTCTGTTGGGATGTTCATTGATACCATCGACGACATACTTCACAGCACCGTTTAGATCATTCAGGATGACATCCATCTGCTTCAATGCCTCCCCATACAGAGCTTGAGCTTCTTGGACTGCCTGATCGGCGTTGCCTGCTGCGGCAGCTTCATAATGGCGCAGTCGCAGTTCTTCAAAACTCCGCTCTCGATTAGCGCCTCCAAATAATTGCCTCGGGGCGTTTCTGCCGGGACCGTAGCAGGAAAAAACCCATTCTGGCCGGCCTTTACCGGCGGTAAGATCGGCCTTGATGTCCGCCGTAGTGATTCCATAGCTGTGGGGTGTCAGAAAGGTCCCATGTAAAATAGCTTGACTGAAGAACAACTTACTCTGCAGATTGCTGAGTCTGGGCGCCACGGCCTATATTTGAAGTTAGGAAATCTCACAACACATGGTGGAAGCAACAAATCGTGAACCAAGTCACACAAGTATAATGCGGTGACAGCTCTTGAAGAGAACAAATGACGATAATGATATAGTTCAGAGTAGACGATGAAAGTCGACACACATAATGGCTTTACAGCCCATTCAATAGACGAAGCATGCTGTGTTGTGTTGTCTCCAACAGCAAACACTAAACGTACCTCCGAAACCTCCCCCAGCAAGTGCCCCGAAACGGTTGCCGGAGCTCAATGTCTGCTGGCTGGGGTGCTCATTCTTACAACGGTCTGGAATGATTGTTAGTCCACTGTCCAGACCGGAACAAGAGCAAAAATCTGATCTTTGGGGCAAGGTATCTTCGTACCTCCAAATCTGCAGCGCCCCTGCTGAAAGTACGTGCAGACAACCATGTCGTATTGGGCCTTTGCGGCGTCGGACAGTACGAGAGGCCCCTGCTGACCGTCTGACGGTGATGATAAGAGCTCAATCGAAAGTCAGAAACCCACGAATTGGAGCTATCTATTTGATCAATCGTTAAAGAAAGACGTGACGAATAAGTAGACTCTTAAGTAATATCAGAAACCGAAGCGCGCGCAGCTGGTCGCGGTGTATAACTAGAGAGAATCTGCGGATGGCCGGTGGTGGTTGGATTGATCCGGTGACAGTACATTTCGCCGCCTCAGGCTGCAGTATTGGCCGGAAATCCATGCATAGTGTATGGACATGGTATTGTAACTTACACATGTTCCTGCCCGCGGAGCTATCAAGAGCCGAGATACAATTTGTCTGTAACATTCTAATTTATTCATTTACTCTTCTACAGGCTGCAAATAACACCAAGTAAGACACTAGGTTGGGGTATACTGGTGGTTATATTTTCGGCCTTGTTAAATCATCAATAGCAACCGTCGCCTGTTCAATGCCAATGCTTCATAAAATTACAATGGATCCGATGTCAACTCCTATTCTCCGAGCCATTTCCCATAATATCAAGTTCATGTCACGCTTGTCCACCGCTGGAGTGAGAAGTCTGTGTATGTGTGACGCTCTGCCTCAGGACATCCCAGTTCAGTCCGTCAATCTTCTCCCCACCGAGGGACTCAAGCTCCTGGGCCAGTCCACTCAACTTGCCACTAGCAAGGCGGCGCATCATGACTGTGTCCTTGGAGCCATGGAGACGCTTTGCACTACCGTGAAGCAGAGCATCCTCGAACCATTCCTCTTCTTGATCGTCGAATGGAAGGCCGATCAGTTCCAGCGCGCGACTGCTCCGAAGTTGGCCAGCGTCTGTTGTGTGCACGAACTCAATGAGCTGTGTAAGGTAGCTTCGACGTAGAGTGTCGTCGTTCTTGCGGGTGAAGTAGAAGGCCTCCGTAATGCTTGAGCGACAGAGCGTCTTGAAGAAGGCTCGCTGGACCTTCTCCGATGCCAAAGGCGGGGAAACAGTAAGGTAGTATGCCATTACGAGGCTGTCATCGTGCTTGGGAAGCCGAGGAAGAGTAAGGACGTAGAGGATTTCATCCGGGAAAGTTGGAATGATAGAAGGCTCGGTCAGATATTCTACGGCTCGCTGTCGGCGCATTCTGGGTCAGTAACCGTCGCAAACTGCGTCAAGGCAGAGACGCACCTTAAATTCAAGCCTATCGAGGTTCCACAGTCCTTCTATGAACAGCCTGTACTTCTCCGGCAAATGACACCGGCGCGAGAACTGGGAAGCCGCATCGCTGGCGGCACGGCAATCTTTCAGGATATAGTAGATCAACGCTTGCTTGTGCTCTATGTCCATGGGGGAGGAAAGTATATGTCCGACAAGAGTCCTGAGGTCTGCATTGGATCTGGGAGGGTACAGTTGCGTGACTAGAGGTTGCTCCTGATTAACAACGACCTTCACTTTAGAGCTGGATGAGGGGAGAGAATACCTGCTTTAACTCCGAGCAATCCTAGCAGTCTGTCGGCGAACAGCTGGTTTTCAAGCGCACGGCGGTTGGCGACGATCTGCTCAATGACCTTGCCATCGTAGGTGAAGTTCTTGTTGAAATAGAAGATAGAGTCGAAATCGTCCCAAGGAGCCATTTTGTCAGAGATATGTCCGTAGAACAATTCCGATACAGCGCTGATTATTTACTCGCGATGAATTGTATGAGCCGCCGTGGCAGGTGGGCGGTGAAGCAGACAGTCCAAAGACGCACATGTTGTGGCAGAAAACAACGCCATTCCCGATGGGGACACAATGTAAACAACCCACTTTCCACTTCCGCCCGCAACTTTGCAACTGCGCCCGCTTCAACATTCGCCTTGATGAAGCCGTCTCTGGCGACGACGACGACTCATCCAAAATAATGTCATCCATCGCAAGAAGCCGCCCAACTAGGCGCTCTGCCGCCGCCCGGCGGAGCTATGCTATCGAAGAAACCTCCGAAGAGGAGGATCCCGGAAATGTCACCCCCACGGCATCTCAGCATGACGAAGACGACGACGATAGCGGCGAAGCCACGCCTGTTCCCAAGAAACCCAGAATTGAAAAGAGGTCCTCGCGCAGGCGAGCCACCGTTGATCAGACTACACCCAAGGCCACGCGCACTACACGGAGGTCTCGCAGATCGGCAACCGCAGAATTGTCGGAGGCGTCGCAACTCACAGATACCAACGACAATGAAGGCGACAGCGTCGCGTCAGTGGAAGAGCCCGAGACTGCCTCACAGGTCACAGCATCGGTAAAGAAAATAACCAGTATGGCTCACCCCCGCAAGAGTCGTGTCTCCCACACGCCCAACCCGGAAATGTCCTTACTCCCTACTCCAGAGCCCTCCGTCTCGCCGCCCCCGTCCCAACCCCGATCGCAGAGGGGCAGTGTACCCCCACTCGCTGATATCACTGAATCGGCTGTGAACCAGACGCCCGCGAAGTCCGAAAGCGAGGAAAAGCCCCAAATCGCCATGATCAACCCCAATACGACCGTTCTCGAAAAGCCGATGGATATCATGATGAAGTCTCGGTTGCTGGGCCCCTCAGCACCCGAGGAGCCATCCGAACCTAAGAGCCGCTTGATTATTACTACACTAATTTTGATGAATTTCAAGAGTTACGCAGGGAAGCAGATCGTCGGGCCCTTCCATGCCTCTTTCTCGTCGGTTGTTGGACCAAACGGATCCGGAAAGTCCAATGTCATCGATGCATTGCTCTTTGTCTTCGGTTTCCGAGCCAGCAAGATGCGACAGGGCAAGGTTTCCGCTCTCATTCACAATTCCGCCAACTTCCCCAACTTGCCCTACTGTGAAGTCGAAGTCCACTTCCAGGAAGTCCTTGACTTGCCCACCGGAGGGCATGAAGTAGTCCCAGATTCCCAACTGATTATCTCCCGAAAGGCATTTAGAAACAACAGCAGCAAGTACTACATGAACGGCAAGGAGACGAACTTTACCGCCGTGACCACCCTGCTCCGCGACCGCGGCATTGACCTGGACCACAAGCGTTTCCTTATTCTCCAAGGTGAAGTCGAGTCAATCGCACAGATGAAGGCCAAGGCTGCCAATGAACATGAAGATGGTCTCCTGGAGTACCTCGAGGATATTATCGGTACGTCTAAATACAAGACGCCCATCGACGAAGCAGCTGCTGAGCTGGAGACGCTGAACGACGTCTGTATGGAAAAGAACAACCGTGTACAGCATGTAGAGAAGGAGAAGAACGCCTTGGAAGACAAAAAGGATAAGGCACTCGCCTTCATCCGTGACGAGAATGAGCTGGCCCAGAAACAGTCCGCACTTTACCAGATTTACATCAATGAGTGCGGGGACAACATCCGGGTTACCGAGGAAGCCATCCTGCAGATGCAAGAGCTTTTGAACCTCGAGCTAGAGAAGCACGAGGGCAACGAGTCCGGCATCAAAGAGCTCGAAAAGGCGTACAAGCGTGGCATGCGGGAATATGAGAGCATGGAAAAGGAAATGCAGGCCTTGGCCAAGGAAATGGCTAAGTACGACAAGGAATCCGTCAAGTTTGAAGAGAAGAAGAAATTCCTGGTTGGAAAGCAGAAGAAGCTGGAAAAGGCCATGCAGAGTACTCGACTGGCTGCCTCTGAGTGTGAAAGTTTGGTGCAAAAGCATGCGGACGACATTGAAAGGAAATCGAAGGAGACTACACAGCTTGAGAAGGAGATGAAGGTGGAGGAGGAGGAACTGAACTCGATCCGTGAGAGCCTCAAAGGCAAAACCCAGGGCCTTTCGGACCAAATTACGGCAAAGCAAAAGTCATTGGAGCCTTGGGATGAGAAGATCAACAAGAAGCTCTCGGCTGTTGCTGTGGCTCAGAGTCAACTTGACATCATCCGTGAGAGAAGCAACGCGGGTGCTGTCCTGTTGGAAGAGGCTCAGGCCAAGGTGGCTTCAATCGAAGAGGGCTTGGCTACCAAGGAGACCGAGCTTGAGGAACGCAAGGAGCAGAAGTCGACACTTGAACAAGAGGTCGAGAAGCTCAAGCATGACCTCAAGAAGTATGCCCACAGAGAACCCGAAGTGCGAGCCCATGTCTCGAGTGCTCGACAGAAGGCAGACGAGGCAAGAGCCAGTCTTGCGAGCACTCAAAATCGCGGAAGCGTTCTATCTGGGCTTATGCGTCTCAAGGAGTCGGGACGTATCGAAGGCTTCCACGGCCGGCTCGGCAACCTCGGAACTATCGACGAGAAATATGATGTCGCTATCTCGACTGCCTGTCCAGCGCTGGACAACATGGTAGTTGATACGGTTGAGGTCGGTCAGCAGTGTATTGACTACCTGCGCAAGAACAATCTCGGCCGAGCCAACTTCATTCTTCTGGATCGACTCCCACGGCGGGATCTGTCCTCCATCGCAACTCCGGAGAAGGTCCCTCGACTTTTTGATCTGGTTAAGCCTAAAGACTCCAAGTTTGCCCCCGCATTCTACAGTGTCATGCAGAACACTTTGGTTGCTAAAGACCTAGAGCAAGCCAACCGCATTGCCTATGGCGCCAGACGGTGGAGGGTCGTGACCCTTGACGGTCAACTTATTGACATGTCTGGTACTATGAGCGGTGGTGGTACCCGCGTTGCACGTGGCGGCATGTCCTCCAAGCAAGTGGCGGAGACAAGCAGAGAGCAAGTTGCACAGCTCGAGGGGGATTTGGAAGAAATGGAGAGGAAGTTCCAGCGCTTCCTGGAGAAGCAACGGCAAATGGAGGCAGCGATCAGAGAGAGGTCCGAGGAGATACCACGGGCGGAGACCAAAATTCAAAAGATCATGATTGAGATCGAAAGTGCCAACAGAAGTCTCGCAGACGCCCAGCGGCGCGTCAAGGAACTGAGCGCCGAGCACAAGCCATCAAAGACGGACGCGAACCAAGCTGCAGCTCTAGAGAAACAGATTGCTGCTCTGGAGGAAGAAATCGAAGATCTTCGTGAACAAAAGGGCGGCATCGAGGAAGAGATCCAGACTCTCCAGAATAAGATCATGGAAGTTGGTGGTGTTAGACTACGTGGTCAGAAGGCCAAGGTCGACGGTCTCAAGGAGCAGATCAGCCTTCTTGCAGAGGAGATTTCCAATGCAGAAGTTGGGAAGTCAAAGAACGAGAAGGCCATCGTCAAGCACCAGAATTCCCGTGCTGACGCAGAGAAGGAACTTGAGCATGTGACAGAGGAGCTCGAGAAGCTCAATGCGGATGTTGCCAACCAGGCCAACGATGCCTCGGGGTGGAAACAGAAGGTGGAGGAAGCGGAAGAGGTAAGTCCGACATGGAAATGTATCAGATTTACAGGCTCACACAAGACAGGCTCTCGACGAAAAGAAAGAGGAGCTCGGCAAGGTGAAGGCTGAGTTGGATGAAAAGGTTGCTGAATTGAACGAGTCCCGCGCTACCGAGATCGAGATGCGCAATAAGCTTGAGGAGAACCAGAAAGCCTTGGCCGAGAACGAAAAGCGCGGGCGGTACTGGCAAGAAAAGTTATCCAAGCTTTCGTTGCAGAACGTCAGCGATCTGGGTGAAGAGCAGGAAGCCACAGAGCTCCAGATGTTCACTCAAGATGAGTTGATGGAGATGAACAAGGAGTCGTTGAAGGCAGCCATTGCTGCCCTCGAGGAGAAGAGCCAGAATGCATCTGTCGACCTTAGTGTCATCGAGGAGTACAGGCGCAGAACGGCTGAACACGAAGCACGTTCGGCCGATCTGACTACTGCCCTGGCATCGCGCGACAGTGCCAAGGCCCGTCTTGATGGCCTCCGATCTGCTCGTCTGAACGGGTTCATGGAAGGATTCGGCATTATCTCGCTTCGTCTGAAGGAGATGTACCAGATGATCACGATGGGAGGTAACGCGGAGCTGGAATTGGTCGACTCTCTGGATCCGTTCTCTGAGGGTATCTTGTTCTCTGTCATGCCTCCGAAGAAGAGCTGGAAGAACATTGGTAATCTGTCCGGTGGTGAGAAGACGCTCTCCAGTTTGGCGCTGGTGTTCGCTTTGCATCACTACAAGCCGACTCCCTTGTACGTGATGGACGAAATCGATGCTGCCCTGGACTTCCGGAACGTGAGTACTCTACCCCAGCTACTAAAAGTGCGTTGCTAATCTGCCTAGGTTTCAATTGTGGCGTCCTATATCAAGGAGAGGACTAAGAATGCCCAATTTATTGTTATTTCTCTGAGAAACAACATGGTAAGGCTCTCGCCATAGATGCTACAGCAGCGCGTTACTGACTCTCAACAATAGTTCGAACTTGCCTCTCGACTGGTCGGTGTTTACAAGGTCAACCACATGACCAAGAGTGTGACGATCGAAAACAAGGACTACATTACGGGGCGATGAATAATTTGATCTGCACGCATGCATATTATGACTTCTTTCTTTTTTGTATGGGTTTTCCGGGAAGGAGGCGCGGTGTGGGACTGGATATCTGTCACTGGCTGAAGGAGATCTATGGGTTCCTTCCATACCTGTTTATACGCGGGGTGAAGTTTTGAGATATGGTGTTGATTATTGTTTTCTGACTTCTTGTATGAATTGGATGATGTCCTTTTTGTCTGGTATGACTGAATTCGGAATACATATATTGATTTATCTGTTCTAATTCGACCTCGTGATGGTGATGAACCTCTATCGACTTGTAAGTTCAAGAGTTGTTTCCTATAGCAGACAGTATAAGTAGGCTCATGCTGTTGCAACAACGTAACTTAGCCACGATGATTCCTTATCTACTTCTACTGCTCGACATATATACTGTCATTCTATGATACAGGTTTTCAACGTCAGGAAAGTCATCTACATGTGTTCACTGCTGGAACATTCACTGCATCCATGTATTGAACCAGATCCTCCACCACCTCTGTTACTACCTATTCGGCGCCCTTCCCCCTCTTCATTCACTTACTCCTGAAGATTGAGCCTGTTCTCGATGTTTTGATACTCGATTCTCCTGTTCAGTACCACTCCTGCCACAGGGTGCCACCTACCTACACAGAACGAGCTCTATAATCTACAAAATGCCACCAGAACTCACTCCTGAATCCGACTACTCCTCACTCAGAGAATTGATAAAAGGCGGTTCTTTATCCTTTTCATGTTCCGGATCCATTCCTATCACTACCGAGGCCTCCGTCAAAGAATGTGGTCACGTCCCTACTAAGTCCCAGCCCGTCAAAATTTTCTGGACTTCGAGGGATTCGGTGCCGCAAATGCTGGTTCTTCCTATCTGCGAAGAAGATGGCGTCGACGCTTCTGGTGCAGGAGCTTTGCAGCAGCTTATCAGTGATTGTACCCCTACTGCCATTTCCAATGGTGAAAAGCGCTTTCTTGATCCTACTTTTTGCAAAGGCGGGACGCTGAGGCCTGCTCGCTTCGCCACTACTTTCCATCCTGTGGATTTTGGTATTCTTGATGAAATTGAGAAACAGCTGCTTCCGTCTTTCGACGTTGGTGCTAGCAGGAACTTGATCGCAGATCTCTGGAAGCTGAATGTTGGGCCCTTTCTCTGTTTTTCCTTTCTTTTTTATTTCCTATATTATAAAGGCATAGGGTGGGAAGGGCAAGAGTCCACTTACTAACCCATGAGGACAGGTCTACTCCAGCCCCGATGGCTTCTTCAAGAAGCACTTCAGTATCCCCTGCAGTGATAATCAATTCGGCTTGCTCGTAGTGTGCCTGCCTTCCCGGTTCACCGGAGGGAACCTGTATGTGCGACACAATAAGCAGGTTCGCGATTTGGACTGGAGCCCGGCCAGTTCCTCGACTATCCAGTGGGCTGCCTTCTATGATGACTGCGAGCTTGAGATTTTGCCTGTTACCGGGGGTGAATGCATCACTCTAACCTACGGTCTCTATGCTGTAGATGCTGGCGTGCGATATGTCCATCCTAGATCATCCCTCACGCCATGCATGCAGCCACTTAAGGCGGCGGTGATGAATATATTGGGGAGCCCTGACTTGATTAGTCAAGGTACATTCCCAATCTATATCAACATCCCTGTCTTCCCCTCCTTCTGCCAAAGGAACTGGTTGTTCTAGTTTATGGCATATTTGACCTTTTGACAGGTGGCATCCTCGGGGCCTTCTGCTCCTACGCCTATCCCGCCTCAGAGAGCATTGCACATGTGCTAAAAGACGGCGATTATCTTCTCTACTCAGCCTTCAAGTCCTGTGGCCTAGACACCTTCGCGCTGGCTATTTCTAGTACCGGGGACTGGTATGCTACTATTTTGGAGCGCGCACAATCCAAGAACATCCCCATTCAGAATGATGAGAAGAACAAGACTGCCAAAGTATGACTCTCGCTCAGAACTTCAACCAGAAAGTCCCTTATATACTTGGGCGCATAGCATACGCTAATAGACAACTCACCATAGGCGGTGGCAAGTGAGGCTTGGCCATGCATTACTTTGCCAGGGGTGACGTGGGTGAATGAACAGAACGAGGATATTCTCGCGCTCTGCAATAACCCTCGTGACACCGGAGCTGCTTCTTCTTCTGAACACGGCAAAGACATTCATAGGCCAACAAAACGGAGAAAAATTGACCAGTCGAAGACCCCATGGTACGTGGATGGCGCTATTCTCGCTGTGATTCCGCCGTGGGGGGTACGATTGTAGCTGCGGTACTTTGTAAATCTACAAGGTCAAGATAACGCATGTTGAATGGAGATGGCATGTCAAGAAGAGAGATTTGAGTTACAGCTTGTCCGAAAGGCAGGGACCGAGCAGATCCAGATATCTAAATAGGTACTACCAGCTACCAACCTAATTCTTCTTGCTTCGAACTATATCCTAATTTCACATAGTACTTACCTGAAATCTAGGATTCAACTCACTGAACAATGTATAACTTTCTCTAGTTACAAGGTGCTGTACAAAATCACCAGTAAATGCAGAAGCAAACTCACTCGGGTTCTCAATATACATGTCGTACCCGGTTTTTCTTTTGGGCCATGCATGACTCGAGGGCATGTACAGTATGATAGTATGATATATTATATGTCTTATTAACTTACACACGATATACCTCCTCACAGGAAACAGTATGAAAAAGCGGGTGGTTTAGCGTTACTATGCTTACATTTTATATTGGGATCTGAGTCGGTATGTGTTCTAAGATAGACGAATAAAGTGCACAAAACCCCCAATGTACCATTAATCCCTAATAAAAAGGTATATACTGTCATTCACAAACAGCCCAGTTCACATACATAGAAAGGGTATCAGAAAAATAAACAAAAAAAGAAGATATAGCATGTCCTGGTTTCGATCCAGGGACCTCCGGGTTATGAGCCCGGCGCTCTTCCCCTGAGCTAACATGCTGCGGATGAAGATTTATGCCCTCTCTTTGACATGATATCCCTGTGGGATAATACTCGGCCGAGAATAGGATTAGGTTTAATTTGCCAAGGATAAGGCTATTCCTGGTGTATTGTAGGAGATTGATTATCGTTCTTGAGTGTAGGTATATTTGCTACTGGAGAGGTGTTGAGGGATTGGGATGTGGGATTATATGTTCGGTAGTGGTTCTGTAGTGTTGTTTATAAGGTAGTGTATAATGATATCGACTTTCTCTTTCAATTGATTTAATGGTATGCCAGCAATTCTATATTCAAGTATGATCGTGTATATTGTGCACAGACGGTCGATTGGTGCATTGACCAGCATAGCAGAGTTTCATGTGGTGGTTGTAGGCTGGCAAGAAGCAGAGATGGAATTGTTCAATTCATTATCCTATCGAATCGAGAATGGCTGCCACTTGACTTGGTCCCATGAAGCATATTTCTTTAACTTGCATGAATACCGTGATGAAGGATATGCCGGGTATCCTTCTCTTCTATCGAATATGCTAGCAAGGGATCTATCGCAGTCATCTGTTGCAGCTTTCGCATTGCATTCCTCTCAGATTGCTGTGGGATATATGTTTCCGTATTGTGTCGAGTATATATTGTCAGTCTTGAAGCATTGTACACGCTCCCAGGGCGGAATTGTACGGGTGTGCTGGCAATTAGTGTTCCACGCATAGACAGTACTTGGTTTTATATTTCAGACTCTCCGTTGTATGGATACATTGCGTCTTCTCTTTTAACTCATTCTTTTTAGATTGTTTCACGCCGATATTGTTCGTTACAACATTCTATATATATTCCACCCATACAATGCTAACCCCCTGCTCGCATTCAGTTTCCCCAATCATGATACACCCACCCCAAGCCACAGCGGATGAACACAACCACCAAGACAATGACAACTCAACCCAACCCTACTTACTTCAACAATCAACCACATACTACTAGTACAACCCGTCCACAATAGATTCTACCCACCAACATCAAACATCAAACCCCATAACAACAGAATCCAGCCAAATGAATACATAAATCAATTACCAAACATACTCCACCTAGCCTGGTACGCAGTAGGCTAGTAGCCTACTCAGTACGTACCCACCCAAGCCCAGTGGCGGGCCAAGCACTGGCCCCTCCCCTTCTGCCTTCCATCCATCCATCCATCCATCCTTCCTTCGTTCCCACTCCACTAAAGTTAGTCAGTTCTAGCTCCAGTCAAATAATATTCTCCCACCAACTAGACTAGACCAAAAGGAACGGAAAAGGCCCAAAATAATAATAACAACAATGATAAATAAATAATGGGAATGAAAAACCCCTCAAACTTTAACTAACAACTCTACGCAGTTCCAGACTCCAGAACTCTTATTCTGCTTACATTTTGTTTACAATTAGATCTGTTGTTGTTTGCCAGTGTGGGTGGGCAAGTTGACAAATAATTTCTCAGTCGGGTTTCTGGATTAAGTTAGTTATAGATGGGAAGAGCGGGATTTGGGTGGTAAACTAGTTCATTTTCTTATTTAATCTATTCCTTATTCGAATGTTATTTGTATATACTATATAGGCTATATGTTATAGGGATTATAGATGCACACTGTAAACTACTAACTTTGTATAGTAGTAAAAACATGCGAAAAGTGCTCAAAAACCTGGTCTGTCGATATAAATTAAATTAACCCACCCGCTCGGGTATATTTTATTCAAGTCAGTCACTTACTCTTTATGAAAGAAAACGGTGAAGATCACATTAAGACATGACCTGTTTCTGAGCTGAGCTGAGTTGAGCCGAGCAAAGCAGAGCACGGTTCAAAAGATGAACTAGACAATCATCTATTCTCGAAGTAGTTTACTGAGAATTTCTAACTCAATAATACCCAGCAATTATACATGAAAATACCCACTTATTTCAACCACAGATGTCAAGGAATGATCATCTTCCAGCAGGTTTATTTCTAATTACCATGTAGTCAAGTCGAAGCGATCTACCAAAACAAGGGAAGAGAATGAGGGGAGCATGAGAAGAAGAGGAGGAGGAGGGGGAGGACGCGAGTCGTCGTCCGTCAAAGCTTACTTGCATTGCAGTAGGGGAAAGGAAAGGAAAGGGAAAATAAGTTCCAGGCCAGGCGAGGCCAGCCTTGTTTACTATTTAGTGACCTTCTTACTTAACTAGAATTACTTAGTTGACACAAGTTGACAGGTGTGGCTGGCCGTCTTTACTTCAATGAGAATTTCTTGCAGCGAAAAGGCCGTGGAAGTTACCTACTAAGTAAGTGTGTGTGTGTTTTTTTGCTTTTTTTTTTTTCTCCCCCCTTTGTTTGTTTGACTGCTATGTTTCTGCTAGTTGCTTAGTTGCTGGTTAGCACTTCCGTGGGTTCCTATTGGTATATATTTTAAGGGCTATTCTATGTAAGAAGTAGTAGTATTTGTATAGCTCACTTTTATATATGATCTGGATAGACAGTAGATACTAGTAGAGATCTGGGTGCTGTAGCAGCAACACGCCGTGTCCATAACCACTCACCAAACAACCCACAATAACAATAACAGCACCTACTAATCAAATCTCTCACAAGCCACGTGGAGTTCCAGTTTCCAGTCTGCATCCCAAGAAGAAAACGTGAGTGGATGGAGACCTCATCACCCAATGAGAGAAAATCGAAAAAAAAAGAGGGTTGGGTTTGGTTATAATTGTGGGAACTAAGAAACTCCCTCCTGCTGCTGCCGCCGCTGCTGCGAACTGGAACGGCTATGCTTGCTTGCTTGCCTACTTGCTTACAGTGGAGCGTGTTTCTCCCGTCCGGGCGGATTCCACTTTGTTTCAATTTGTCGGGTCGGCTGGTGGGTAAAGTGGGTGGATGAATGGGTCGGCAGAGTGGAAGGGGAGGCAAAAAAGAGGGCAAGTCGTATGTGTGTCGTGTGCTTGCTTGCCTTGCCTGGTATTGGTACTTACCGTACGGGTTATTACTATTAGTGTTAAGTATTGTTTGTTGTGATGGGATGGGATGTGATGGTCGTACATTATTTGGGGGTTTGTTTGGGGGGGTTTCATCGGATCGGAAGTTAAGTATTGCCTATAATTTGGGATAGATGGATGGAGGAATGTAAGAATCGATAGATATCGATAGGTATCAAAATAGGCCACGAGGCTGAAGATAGACGATAAGAGAGAGAGACTGAAAGGGTATGAATTCGGAAGTATTCACCCAGAATCCTACTGTAGAACCTGGATAGAACCTGCAATGCGGAGGAAATATGACGGGCTTATGATCTGTCCAACAAGGGATCCATCCTACCTTCTGGGAAATTGCAGATTGCAGATAGTACCTGTCTAACGGTAGTATCTCCCCCTCCCCAATCTCACGGTCGGGTTACACACAAGAACTGCGGGTTGATAGATCTATACGCGGCGGGAGATCTATCGCGACCGGCAAAAAGTATATCGCAGTCCCAGCGATAAGAGACAACACAACCGGGATACAAGGCACGCGGATTAACTTTCGAACTTATCATATAGTAGGCTAGAATTGTGCCGTCCTGAGACTACTGCACTGTGACGTGATGGGGTAAATTAATATTGTTCCTTCGACAGCAAGAATTCCTCCCCGATCGCAAAGCGGCTGTTGCTGGATTCACATCCTGGTCGCTGGTTCACCATAATTACCACGAGCTATGGTGATGTCGGTTCGGCGAAACTTCGTCAAAACACGCGGGATGCCCGGGGATTGTTTGGACTGTTTGGGACATTCCGTTGCTTGGGACACAAGGAGGGTCTTAGCTGAGATGGCTTGCGAGGGAATGGCTTGCGAGGGAAATCCTTCCGCTGCACTAGACTCAGTCCTATACTTGGCTGTAAGTATGCGTATAGAGTTCTTGCTGTACGCCATATACTCCGTATCCAAGGTACACTTCAAACTATCACCCACAGCCGCTGCACTCCGCATGCGGCAAGCGGTTGCTGCGTCCGGTGTCTGTCGCTCTCTGGATGGATCATCCGGCTGGCTGGAGATGGTCCGATCGCGCAGCAAGGTTCGACCCGACTTGAGTTGTCTTTCTCGTACTTTGGGGCAAGTATCAGACATTATCGATGCTACTGCGTCTCGTATCGAGTAGGAGGGTGGTAGCGGGATGCTCGATACTAAACTAATTACCGTCTTCCGCTAGAAGCTTACCATACAAGGGCGCAGGCAGCAAATCGGAGAAAGAAATGGCCGTGGTCGGGCGACTGCCCATGTTTTGGGGGGTGTTCCCGGGCGACTACAAGAATCACAAGTATCAGGCGGGTTGATTGATACCTCCTTGATCGTGTTGATGAAACCCCCAATCTTACTGTGCTCCGGGCAGTGTAAGTGAACATACGTAGGCTGTCTCTAAAGGGAGGCTGTTGTCGCCCAGACGGGAATACTCCGGAACTCCGGACCCCAAAGATTGAGGAATCCAGTGATAGACAGGAGGTGATTCGGATCTCTAACCCGAAGACTCGTCGCTGAGTATCTGCATGCGTACTTCAGTTGTTCCAGGGCGAGACCTGGAATGGATAGCGTCTGTTTCGTTCATCGAGAAAGGAATAACGGCCGTTGTCGGGCGGGAGGCGCAACACCTCGGTGGGTATAGTCGTCAGTAGACTCAAACTCAAGCATGGGAAGGATCCCGATCGTCCCCCAGACAGCATCATCATCTTCCATGTGACCAGCAGGATAGCCCTCCCTTCCGAGCTCTTACTTAGTTGGGGTTGGAAGGGAGGGAATGGTGGCTGACAGCGGGATGAGGCTGCCTGCAGAGGATCCAATATTCGGATAGGCACCATGGAGGTTTAGTCCAGTAGTTCCGCTGTGTGATAATAGCCGCGCCAATCCTGATTATATGGATGGGCTGTGATTGCTCCGGATGCGCATGCTCATCCCGTGTCTCTCATTCTGTGTCTGTGTCTGCCTCTGCCTTATGGAGCTTACCCAAGGATTCACTGATCTCACTGATCTAACTGGGTAAGTAAGTAAGTCTGGATGGCTATCGCGATGCGACTAGTCTAGTCAGTCGCTGGGATTAATGGATCCCCCAACTTGAATCCTGGGCTGCACTCGGTAAGTAACTGGGATAGTGCCGAAGGGGGATCAAGGTGCGACCCTGGTTCGTATCGGAACCCTCGGGCATGGGAGGCGGCAATTATTTGATGCACATAGGATCTATGACCCTATGATTGCGATCAGGCGGAATGATTCCTTCCTTTCCTTCTTTCTTTTTCTTCGCTTTATCCCCCTTCCCCTCCTGCTTCCCATTGCTTTTTTGCTTCAATGAAGACAAGGGACATAAAGTAAAATTAAAAAAAAAAAAAGAAAGAAAGAAAGAAAGAAAAAAAGTAAAATCAAAAAGGGGGAAAGAAGATCAGCAAAGAAAATAATCCCAGGGTGCATTCCTGTAATTGAAGTTCCTTGCCGAACATGGCTGGATTGGGAAAGTTCCTGGTCGGAAGCGACCAGCTCGGTTGCTGACCGTTTATCCATGCTGGGGAACCGGTCGGTGGTTCGAGTCTGGAGAGTTGATGACTGATGATTGATGAGAGTGTGTGTGAGAGTCAGATCCTACCTTAGTAAATTAAACTAGTTACTAGTTAGTCACTTAGATGCTCACGTTGTGGATATACAACCAAAATCACAAAAGGGTAACATTTTTATGGAGCATACGACCATCTTTCCTGCCACCGGATATACGAAAGGAAAAAATCTAAAGGCAAAGGGAAAAAATGGCGCAGGTGATAATTTGACTTCTTCCATCCCTCGTTCTACAGACCTTCGATTGCGTAAAATCCAGGTTTAGCGGCCAAACGCCGTCCCGTCAAATTGGGTACGGAAGTTTGTTTGGGTCGAGTCCATCGGGCGCGGTGACGGGTTGGGTTTAGATAGTTCTGGGTAGTACCACCACCACCACCACATCCAGCGTCACTAATTCGTCTAGTCGGAGTCTGTCCCATAGTCACTCGGTGACTCCGGGGTTGATGGCTTTTCCTTTTCTGCTTCCTTACAGCCGGATTACACCCGGGGTTATTGTCCGCCTTGCTGTTTTTCCTGGTTCACCCTCATCATCCCATTCATTCCATCGGTGGAATTGGGGAACGAAGAACCGTTGGAATGGTTACGCAAAGGAGTAACTGGCCATGTGTGAAGGAGGGTAAAGGAAGGGCCATGATCGACAAACACTGGGCGGGTAATCATTTTCATTCTGGTTCCTATTGATCTGATGCCGTTTAGGCGCCCCTCCCCCTTCTCCTCCGTCTGAACCAGAATGCTGGCTGGCTAACTAACTAGTCAGTCAGTCATGCCCTCCCCATGCTTGTGTCTCTCCCATACTCCATCTGGGCAATCTAGTCGCATATTAGGCCGGAACCGTTTTCTGTCGGGCTCCATCCGCTGACAGGCTGAAGGGAGACTAGGAGCTTTAGTGAATTTCAGCCTGCAACAGACGATTCGTCTAAGGGAGAATCAGATAAATAAGCGCAATAAGAGAGGCGGATGCCAAGTAGATAGTATGTCGCAGGAATGGGGAATGGATATTGTCGGAAAAGACCCCTCCACAGTTTGTCATCGTTAATATTTGAATTTTAGGATCCCGGATACTCCTCCGTCTAGTTAATTTACATTTCACCACTACTAGTTGTAGTTATAGTTCCGGTACGGTAAGTTCCCTTGTCGCTTAGTAGTTGAAGCCCAACCGGGATTCATTCATTCATTCATTCTTGGATGGCAAGCAGGCAAGAGAAGGAAGGGAGGGAGGGAGGGAGGGGAGGGATGTGCTTTGGCCCCCAGAGCCACTGGAAGCACAACAGGTTGGTAATCGGATAGTTGCTTGAATTTATTGGATGGTTGGGCTCTTTTTGACCACTGTTTAGGCAGATCGAGGACTTTACTACCACCACTGTAAAATAAGTAATTCACTTATTAGCAATAATAAGTAGTACTTAGTCTACTGTGTGTATGTTGTAGTAGTAGTATAGATGGGAGGGGATGGAACCGGAAAGTACCATACCGAACCATACCAAACGGTAATTACCAACCCGAGCCAGGCCAGCCCCGGCCAGACCCTCTCTTTGCCTCTTCCATTTTCATAACGCAGCCGATGCACCGCTCCACTTCCGGGCTTCTCTTGTTCCCCCCCTTCTACTAACTAACTTACCTTTCCGATATCCTTTCCCTCCACTACTACTGCTACTACTTACTACTACTGGCTCATACTACTACTTACTCTTCCCAGTAAAGTCGCTAATCCATGCCTCTCTCTTTCTTTCACTCTCTCCATAGAGTCTGGAGTAAAACTAACTAGTAGAATTACTACTCGTCCATTCCCTTCTCTCCCTCTCAGCCACTTAATATATACTCTTATCCTTACCCTCCGTCTCGTCCCTCTCTTCTCTTCTTCTTCTTTCCCTCCTTTCCTTTTTACTTTCCCCCGCACCGTCTTTGTTCTGCAAGCTGGTCTTTGCAGCTTCACTGACTCTATTACCACTATTCTAATTACCATTACTACCCCAACGTTGTTGTTCTCGTTGTGGGTGGTTCAATCCAACCTCTCAACCTTCCACTACTACCGTCTGGATCTGGATCTGCACCAGCCATACCCGGTTTCCCTCCCCTCCTCCCTTCAACTTGCTGGTGGTTATTCTGCGTCATTGCCACGAAACCAGCACCACATCGTCACCGTGACTCTTATCTGTGAAAGCATGTATTGCAATAATGCTCTAATATGGTTGCTGGGTTCTGCTAGACCATAACTTTCACGGATATGGATTTCATTGTAAGTGTGGCTTTCTTTTCCTGTCTCTTCCCCCCTTGTGCCTCGGTGTGTGTGTCTGTCTTTCGCATCGGTGAATGATGTTGGTGATGTGTGAGCATGACGTGCACTTTCATGTCTCACCGGGGACAATGCGTTTGGGCTTCTTTGCACTGAATTAGGCCTTTTCTTCCTTGCTCGCACCGCGCAATGCGCGCATAATGACCGCGTGCAACATGGCAGGGATCCTGACTCTTGCGCTTGTCCTTGTCCACCCCGTTTCTACACAGTGGATCCCTGTCTGCTTTCTCCAGCTAACACATCCTCCCTCTACTAGCTTTCTTTGACGCATTTCTGCGAGGTGCATGGTCCTACCTCGATCATCTGCTCGCAGGTCCTACCGTTCCCCTGTTCACAATGCTATCCCGACAAATCTGATTCCTCTCCCGACGATACCCCTGCCACCTCTCACGACACTGTTTCATCTCACGGCCTGCAGAGCCGCACGAATAACAAATCTACCCCAAACAAACTCTCAGAAAAGAATAACGACTCCTCCGAGAGGTCTCCCAGAATAGAAGACCATCCCTATTTCCTGAAAGGCCAGGCCACGCCGGCTGATACTCAACAAAGACTCAACTTTCTTGGTGGCGCAGACGGCGACACGTGCGCCAGTTGCAGCTTGACTCTACCTGAAGATGTGAGCAAGCAGCTGCCCCCAGGTGCGCCAGGAACGGCCCGAAGTGACGGCAAAGGGAGGAACGGCAGTCCTGTTTTACGGTCTAGAGAGGTCGTCTACTCTTGTGGGACCAGTCACGCCGACCACGATGATACCACACACGACCCGCATGTCCATGCTTCATACCCAGACTCTCTTCATTCGGCCTCTGTTACATCGGACGCCTCCTGTCATACACACATCCTCACCTATCTTTCATTGCGCGGACCCCCCAACCCGGCTGATTACGCGCTTCTGCGACGCTCCTCCATTCGAACACTGAGTTGCGAACTCTTGCCCCGCGGTCTTTCCTCGGGCCCTATATGTTTTGGCGATTCTTCTGCAGGCTATACGATAGCTTACATCTTTCGCCTGCCCGACCCCATGGCTCGCGGGAAACGGCGTAGCTATGCCCTTGTCGCATTGGCAGGCAAAGACGCCGGTCGAGCATTCCGTGCCTGCCCTGTGATTTGGCGCGCATTCGGTCGCATTGCCACGGGCATTGTCAACTCAGCGGAGAAATACCAGGAAGAAGAAAAGCGTCGCGACGAACAAAACAACGCATCGAATAGACGCGGGAGCAAACAGTATACCCCTGTTTCTTCCTTCCTCACAGGGCGCGCTCTTGATCCGGACGGACAGCTTCGTCGACCCGGTCAAGTTCGAGCGAGAAATCTTTCGGAAATCGTGGGAAACCAATACATCTTTGCTGAAATACATGCACACTTTGTTGCACTTCTGCAGCAGTTGGGTACGATGTTTGGGGCCTCGCCCATCTCAGAAGAAAGATTCGTGTGCAGTACAGTGCG